CTCCGACTACTGGGCCATTCGCGGCCTTAAAAAGCCATAATAAGCACAAATTCGTCGGTTACGAAACCTTGTGATTACACCGATTAGAATTTAAGCGACCTTTATAGCGAATGAGCAGCTTTCTTAGCTTTTCTGCCTAGTGATTGTAGGGTGGCTTTGCAGAAGGCCAATTATGAAGAAGACGGCATTTCTCACAGAAAAACTGCTGCATTTTTTTTTGTTTGCGTTCGGAATATTTATTGAAACTTTAAGAGAGGCAGATAAGCCGCTTATGCTCGATTAACGAAAGCCTGCTTCCTCTCTCCCTCTCTTTCCGGCGCAGTCTAGAACAGATATCTGCAAGATTACCGGACAGCGTATATAGTAAGTACTCAGAATAGAAGACTTTCTGTTTTCGCTTTAGGCAAAGCGATAATCCATGCGATTAGCGTCAAAAGAAGCGTCTTTGACAGGAATGGAAGATAAGAAGTGTCTTTTGCTAGAATCACAAAAACTGTTCAGCACAACTGGTGCTCGTAAGAACTGTTCGTGGTGAGCTGACTCATCTGAGAATCGAAATCAGTAAATTTTAAGTTTTTACTCACGTTTTTCTTTCTTGTATGAATTAGGTAGCATGTGACTACCACCCTCAAGATGCTCGAGAAATTCAAACAATCCGAAATGTGAATTAACGTTGTGTTGAAAACGTGGTTGCAGCTCATAGAGAACATTTCGTAAGAATACAGCAATACAGCAACTCATCAACGCCGAGGTTATTTGAATGTTGGTTTCCAGAATGATTGTCTTATTATATTTTAGAATGGTACAGAAACAGTCCCAAAAGGAAATGCTAAACCTTTTAAATTATTCAGCAGCTGATTTCCTTAGAAATATTTATAGCTGATAATCTGAAGTTATCAGTAGATAAGCTACTATTAGAATTAGCCCACATGAAGGCGACAAATCGCAAGGGAATGATATGAAAGGATTACGATATGTAACGAATCCACTGGCGGAATGAGAGGATAGCCTTATCATTTCTACTTCAGTGCAGAGGGGTTACACCACGGTATTTGTGTAGGACTTTTGACTGAAGAACGCGCAATGTTCTTACTATAATATCTGGCATGATGGATATCAAATCCACGAGGATGTAGCACATTGTCCAACTCTTATCCCTGTGTTGGTTGTACTGAACAACAACTATCCACAGCTTTTCTGCACGAAAAACTGCACTATAATTTTGCTTTCAGAATGTTGCTAAGCATTTCAGTGACTTATAAACTTGAATGAATTTATTCAATGAATGAAAAAATGAATATCGAATTTCGAAGTTTCCAACGAATTGGTGTTGTTTTCTAAGTAAAAGGACTCAACAAAACTATTTAGACTCTTCGAGGTGGTTGTGCACTGCCCTTGGCTCTTCTCGACTTCCTCGATAGTTTTCATTACTTGGTGGCCGATCTTCCAAATTTTTACGTGCTCCTCATCATAATTCACTGGATAATCAGACTGGGCGGCATAGCCATGCCAAGTTATGTGAGACGGTAGACATCTTCATACGATCTTATTACCATCGCCGGAGCATATTCTATAGGTTAGATTAGTCTCGAATAGTTCACATAACACAGCAGTCGCTCGAAGGCAAAGTCATCCTGAAAGAGGCCATATTTGTTGTTGGAACAAAACTTTGTTATCTAACATCTGACCGTAATCTCATGTGTTACACCTGTTTTTCCGACATTGATCGAGTGGTGCTTTTGAAAAGTGTACACTGAGTCCTGTTGCATGTTAGAATCACCCAGCGGTTTCTGTTAGGGATGGATCCAAAGCGCGTTATAATTTTTTCTAGATTGCTCATTAATTTTTTGTTTTCGTTATTCGTGGCTCTTCTGCTCACACGATTTGCACCAACGTGGCGTATGTTGCAGTTCTCCCTCCTCCTTACCTTGCTGATAAACTGCGATGTTCCTTAACACTCACGACTTTTTCATAAGGGCAAGGTGCTCCTTCAAATATGAAGCGAAATCTACTGATTTTCTGGATTTTTAACAGAAGAAAACAATGGTAAAATGCGAACTATGTTGCTTCTGTCTTACAAAGTATCACGTACAAGCGCTCAGAGTTGAGTTAGCCTTCAAGAAATAACAAATCCATACAGCGTTTTTTTTTATGGGAAAGGACTACAAATGACTCTGCTTTTTAAGAACTACCAGTACCACATTCGCAGAACCATAGATCTATCTAGCGACGTTTAATGTCAACACATCGTTCATGAAGTTCACCGTCGCAAAATCCTCAACATTTGAATACCACCATAAATGTTCGTCATTCATGTGATCATTCCAGTTAATTTTTTAAGCCACATCATGCTTCACTCATGAGCTGACTGAGGTTTTTGAAGCAGTGTCTACCGTATCCGTATTGACCATTTCTCGTAACATTCTAAAAGAGTGCCCTTTGGATTACCATCATTGTTTTCTTATCCTCCTGACAATCAAATGGAAAGCTCTAAGACACTTCTAATAAAGATATACGCCCATTAGAACACCTTTGCATAATAGTCTGTGGAAAATACAGCGTTGACATTCTTCTCGAAGAAACAGCGTACTCTCAGTATACGACCTTTTGCGGCGAACGGATTCTAAATGGTTAATGTTATCGTTGACGATAACAGGTAAGCGGTAAGTGTTTACGCAATGACAGAGGGTTATCGTTATTATCATCGTGCCTCTCTCTCAGCAGTAGCGGTAAAAAAGTCAATCAAACGGTGTTCGCGAATCCTGGATTCCAACAAAATTGAGTGTAAGATAACAAGCCATCCACTTCGGTTATCTAATCGTTATTTCAATTATTTGATATTTTCTTGTCCAACTGAATCTCCTCCGAACTCCGTTTCTGAATTTGACACATGCATGTATGGTGCACTTAAAAGTAAACTAACCAGTAACTGTAGTTATAAAGCGTCTCACTAGAAGCACAACGCACAAATTATATGCAAAACAATCTTGTCGAGACACCAAAGTGATGAAAATCCTTTCAATTACTATAGAACAAGTCTTATGACTTTGTCAATGCCGCTGCCAGACATCGCTACTTTTTTTGCTAAAAGATGAAAACAACAATTTTTTCCTGAGCGGATTATAAACGTAATGCCTGAGCGTGAAAGAGTCTAACTGCAATAGGTCGCCAATCATTAGGAACCGCCCATGTAGCATATAAAGTCTGAGAGATTCCGTTGCAAATCATTCCCAAGATGCCCTTTGACAAGCCGTCACTGCTTAATTCTACGAAGAGAAAAAGAAGTGAGTTTAGCAATTTCTTCTGTCTTAATGATGATAAAAAAATAAAGGATAAAGCTCTTGGCGTTGATCAATCCCTGAGGGATGCTCCATGCATTCGACTTCATTAGGTGTCGTTGGAGGTGATTGAATGCATATCTGGCCTTTACAATGGCTCCCGATGGCCTACCGATGTATCGAGCCAGTGCTGCTATCGTCCCTGACAAGTCTGGTACCAATTTGCCGACACCGGAGGGATGGAAGGCTTCGGCTGCCATGGACGCATAGAACGATTCCGTGTGTTGCAGGGCACCTCCGAACACTACCCCACACGCGCCCTCTTAAGAATGATATTGTAGGTAAACTTTCAAGAAGTCGTAAACCTCTAAAGCTTGATTAAGAGAACGCCTAGTAGAAAACGGCATTGAAACAGCTTTTCTGTTAAAGATTGGGAAAAGTCAATTACCATAGTTGGCTGCCGCTGAAGATATTTGAGCACTGAATGACAGTGCAAACATTATCTGGTCTAAGACAACAAAACACTGCGATTGTACCAAACAGAGATTTTCTATAGCGTTCGACCTTGAGCAATCACTCTGGGATACCCTAAGCATTCGATTTAATCAACCATCATTATAGCTGATTGAGTGCACATTCAGCCTATGGAATAACTTACGGCAGCTCACCCATTTATCAACTCAGTGCTGCTGCTATCCTTCCATGCAGGTCTGGTACTAATTTCCTGGCTATGGAGTAATGGAATGCTTGGTTTGTCCAGCGCACGGGATCGTATCAGAGAGCAATCCGGTGTGTACTTCAGCGCACGTCTGGCCACTGTGCTCAAGCACCTAGCTAAACACCTACTCAAACACCTTGATAAGTAGCTTTGACCGCCGTATTTAGACGGATAAAAACGTGGTGTACTACATTATTGGCAGAATTTTGTTTTTCAAGATCGTGGAGCTCACCTCGCTTAAGACGCTTCCGTCTTAACTAATTCCAGTTGAAATGAATACGTGCTTACTTATGAATAAAAACGTCTTGAAAGAAATACCTATTAATGATTATAACAACCACGATGAACTCTCAGTATTTAACAACAAGGGAAAAACTTCTGGAAAAACAAACCACAATGACAAGATGTTTCTTACAAATAATTAGCAAGCAGTCGTGACGATTTTACAATGGCGTAACAAGTGGGAAGCGATTGGCACATTGAACACTTACGACTCAAATGACTCGACTTTCACAGAATCGTTCGGTCGGCAGCTCAATTTGCATTTGATGGCTTCCAGGCGCATGGTTTTGCAAGGACTTCTTTCTAGCTACCTGAGACTACTGTTCCAGGGTGTTCCCAGGTTCTTAACCTGAGTTATCGAAAGACTGTGTGTCGCCTTGTGACTAGGTTGCTTCTAAGACGACGAAGATATCTGGCACTCATTTACCGATTTCTAGTGACAAATCGAATAGGGAAAAAAAAATAGGAGTATAAATACCAGTAACTACTGCAAGAGCATATTCTTGTCTCTATTGGGCTCTATTCTGACTAAGTTCTTATATTTCAGTGAAACGCCTCACATGCCGTAAATGTGAGGGTCACGGATTCGTTTCTGTGCTGAAAGGCCACGCTGCGGTCTGCCCATTCAATCAGTGCTGCTGCGAGCGAGTATGTTGCCAACCGCTACTTATTATTACATAACGAATCTGAGACTTTGCTCCGAATTTCAGTGTAGGACGGTTATGACCGTGCGCGCCAACGCCTTAATTCGTCGTTTTCGTCATCGACAACCCGGACAGAATTTGGCACTACTGAAGACGATCCGCTCGAAGAATGGTAATATGAGACTGCGAATAGTGCCGAAAGGAGACCGAGCTGAACGTGAGTCTAACTGTCCACGAAAGTTGAAAACCTTACAACAGATTTCTGGGGAACTTGATTTCTCTGGTGCAAAGGATTGAACTAGAAATGAAACGTTTATTTTAGGGCACCTCAATTCACTGCGTTGCTCATGTTTTATATATATACTTACTTACTTGGATACTTGGATGGTCCGTCTTCACGAGTTGTGCGGACCCCAGCACATGTGCCATTCGTTCCTTTCTCTCGCAGTCGTAATCCATGGTGGTGGTCTTGTCTGAGCATGGTAGCGCTTGCGAGTCTCATACCGTGATCTGTAGAACAACTGCAGCTGCAGGTACACCTGATTAACTTTGTTTACGAACACGTCCGCCCAACCTGTAGGTGGTCGTCTAAGGGGACGTTTGCATTCTCTTGGAGTCCACTCCACTGTTCTTTTCGTCCATCTGTTCTTCTCATTATGTGAGCGGCCCATCTATGTTTCGCTGTCGATCAATCTTCTCCTGGATCTCGAAGATGTAACAGATTTCGAAGGTCTGAGCTCCCCATTCCGATTACATATTGACAGTGCCGGTTATATTTCAGAAGGCATCGCTCAAGCGCTCTGTGAGTAGTTCGAAGCATTCTTGACGTAGTTCAAGTATCAACCCACGTCTCTGCAGCATAACAGAGCGCTGGGAGGACCGTAGAATCAAAGAGATGGGAGCGGATTTTTTGGTCCTTCAGTTGGTCAGTGGCTTCTTTGAGAGGCCCGAATGCGACCCAAGCTGCTCTCCTTTTTCTATCTAGTTCCTCCTTCATGTTGTTTTCCATGTTTATTGATCGAACAAGGTAAACGTACGAGGTGGTCTCTGCAATGAGAGAGCCATCCAATTCAATTCTTTAGCTTTCGCACCATGGTTTTTCATGAACTGCGTCTTCTTTCGATTTATGCGAAGTCCGATCTTTTTCTCGCTTCGTTGAGCTCGTTGATCAGCACCTGTTTCGCTAGTACTCCTTGAAAAGATGACAATGTCGTCGACAAAACGAAGGTTTGATAGGAACCTTCCATTAATACGTATGCCTTTCTCATCCCAATGGAGTGACTTCATTATTCACTGCAGTGCGGCACTGAACAGCTTTGGCGATATTATGTCAACCTGTCGAACCCCTTTCCCTATGGGTATTGTAAGACGTCGATAGAAAAACTGTATTTTCGCGTAGTGGAGTTCCAGTAACAGTCGGACAGAGTCCTCATGTAGAATGAGTGCACTCCTTGGTCGAGGAGTGCTGATAGAATTGCATTCGTTTCGACACTGTCAAACGCTTTTTCATAGTCGAAAAAGGATAGAACTAGAGGCAAATGGTATTTCCGACAAATTTCGATGACCCTGGACACGGTTTGGATGTGGTCCATGTATCAAAATCCTTGTCAAAACCCTGCTTGCTCGACTGGTTGCGCCTCATCCAATGTTCTTGATATGCGCGAGAGGATAATTTCGTGAAGAGCTTGTAGAGTACACATAACAAGCATATGAGACGATAGCTACGAAGATCCCTTCGATCTCCTTTTTGGGTACGATGACCGTGCGCGACGTCCTATACTGGCCTGGGATTTTTCCTTTCGAAGGTAGCCTGTCATATGATCTGCGAGAAGTCCATAAGAATTGTGGCCTCCAGCTCTAAGGAAATCGGCAGTGACATCATCGGGTCCTGGATCTGTGCATCTTTACATGGTTTCTATCGCAACTCGAACCTCCGACGAAAGAATTCAAGACGGTTCTTCTCCAGCGGGGATATTAGGGCCCAGGACGGGAATTGTGGAAAGGAAAAGGTTGGTGTATAACGTTTCCGCTATTAATTCGATATCGTGGTGGGAAGTTTTGACGATCCCATCTTCGTTCATCAAGTCTGGCAGTAGAACATTATAATCACACAAGTCCCGACGGCAATTTTTCGGACTGCTTCTTTTCTTTGCTGTTTCCAGAATTTTCTTCTGCTCGTACCGTTGCAGATCATCCTGCAAAGCTCTTCTGCAGTTGGCATTTATTAGTAGCCATGTTAAACGTGCTACAGTAGGATCAAGCTTCAGTTTCCCTCTCTTTCGAGTAACTCCTTATTAGTGATGGAGATGCGATCCGATCTTCCTTCGTTTAAAATGTTCTCGTCGTATACAGCTAGACTTTTTCCTCGTGGTCGATGAAGAGAGTCCTCTTCTAGCTTGCGGCTGAATCGAATCTTCGCGCGAAGAAGGTGGTGATCGGAACCAGTACAGAATGACGGGACTACCGATGTGTCAAGTAGGCACCATCTTCTGTTTGTCAGCATATGGTCGATCTCCGCATGAGTCGTGCCGTTGAGAGACTCCCATGTTCAGCGGCGGCTTTCTTTTTTCTGGAAGAACGAGTTTCCATGGAAGAAGTCCTGCGAGACGGTTCCCATTCTCATTTTTTTCTCCTAATCCGAAATTTCCGATCCTGTATTCACTCTCGTTAGCCTTTGCTATTCTGGCGTTGAAGTCTCTAACAAGAAATTCGTGATATGCTTTATCATTGCGGATGAATTCCTCTAAGTGATAGAACACATTTCGTTCTCATCAGCTACGTCGGTCGGTGAGTAGCAGTTGATGATAGTGATCCTCTTATGACGCGACAGTTGAGGACGGAGGACGGCTATACGAGGTGAAAGGATCACGTACGAGTCGACGAGATGGACAATGGACGGGTGGACGACAAACGCTAAGCCACCGACATTCCGTGACGGGACCTTTTCACTGCAGATCACAAGGGTCCCGTTGTTTATTTGGCGTATGTCGGTCTTCCCAACTTTTGTTTCTTGTAATGCGATCGGTGAAAGTCAGACAGAGCGGTCTTTTGTACTCTCGCGATACTTCAATGAGTCGTGTGGCTGTTGTCCATCGTACTAAATCCTCTTCGAAACCCTGCCTGCTCACACGGCTGTCCTTCGCCTAGTGCTCCGTCAATCCTGTTTAGGAGGACTCGAGTGAAAAGTTTGTAGACGACAGACAGTAAGCAGATTGGGCGATAGGTGCCGATATCATGCAGATCACCCTTGAACAATAACACGGTCTTGCTAGTTTTCCGCTGAGTAGGGACCTCGCATTCAGACAGGTAACGTGTGAAGAGCCGAGCCAGTGTGTTTACGAGGACTGGCGGAAGGTTCTTCACGTATTCTGGTCTTATTCTGCCCGGACCTGGTGCTGTTCGATTTTTCACCGGTGAAATGGCATGTCGGATTTCGGAAGGGACAACCGGTGGTGCAACATATCCATCCTCCTTTATTTCATATGACGTAACGTGAATATGGCTATCGAAGAGATCCGATTAGTATTCGTGAATGATTTTCTCCATTGCCTTTCTGGACGCTGTAACTGTTCCGTCTGGGCGCCGGAGAACAATCATTTTGGTCCTGTAATGGCGAAGCTTCGGTGGGCTTTGCGAATGCTTTTCCCAGTGTCTGCAGCTCGGGCCATTACTGCTGCTCTTCTCTCTCTAAGGTCTTCTTTTATCGCTTGTCTGCATTGTTTTGCAAGCTCGGACGCTAGTTCGCGGTTGCCTGCAGCTCGTGCGATTCCGCGCTGGCGTATCAGCTCGAGCGTTTTTGGAAACAGACGCCTCTTGGTGATTTTCGTACTCTGAGCTTTCATAGTACTAACGTGAAGATGTTGAATGAGCCGACCGTATTCTTCGCCGATGTTATCGACAACGGTGTCTTCCCAGCAGCCTACTAATGAATTGAATAAATTCCAGTTTACGATGGTTCTGGGACTTCGGTTTTGGAATTTAGAGGCTTTTTCTCCTTTCCGTGAGAAATAGAATCTTGCACGAAGGAGACGACGGACTGATCCGGTGTAGAATTTTGGGACAACAGCGGCATCAGTTATGCAAGAGCTTCTGTTTACTATGATGTGGTCTATTTCGTTATGGTATTCTCTACTGGGAGACTCCCACGTTTAGCGATGAGGGTGGGGCTTCTGGAATTGTGAGTTACCGTGGAATATCTTGGTCGCCATGATAAACTCAGATAGCCGCTCACACTGTTCGTTCCTTTCTGATCCGTGGGTCCCAATGTAACGTTCTTCAGACCTTCTTCTTGGTCCAATCTTGGCGTTGAAATCGCCAATGATAGCCTCGAAGAATGTGTGGTCTTCTCTGTAGAAGCTCTCCAAGTCTATATAGAACACTTCGACTTCTTCATCATAGTTTGATGTCGGCCCGTAAACGACGAAGATTGTCAAAGCCAGAATTGATTCACGTCTTTTTAATCGTAAACGTCCGATTCAGGTTGAAGTGTACGTGCATTGTAGGTACAGATGGTCACCATAGTCCTTTGAAATCCAGGCAGCTTCCATTGGCCCTGAGATTTTACCAGCCTCTCCGTACTCGTCCTACCCAACGCTGTGAAATTGGAGGTTCTTTCGGGGTCAGGAGAATGAGGCCCCTTTTTTAAACGGTGTTTAGCATTTTAATACCCACATATAGCTTGCTGGGCTCTGAACGTGGGGCTGGGTATACTCATGGGTAGCTTGCCAGGCTCTCCCAGAGTGGACATGGAGCTTATTTGTTGGAGGCGACTCCTAACCGCCTCGCAGATACTTCCCTGTCACTTGATTACAGCCTTTTGGCGGAATTGACTCGCAGAATACAATCCGCATAAACGAGAACATGCACACACATGCATATGTGAATACGCCTCGTAAATACAGAAAGCTTGTGCCAAATCGGCGTAGCAAAAAGGGGGAGTCCATCCCCTGGATCCACCTGCGTCTCAGGGAAGCAAAGGTCGCTTTTGGTCCGCGATTAACCCCCTATCGACCGCCTGGGGGCGCGCCACGTAGCCTCGCGACTAACCGGCTCGAGATCCCTCAAATGAGTGAGATCCGTGGCACGGATCTGTCTCACTTTCATCGATTTACAGAAGGCCTTTGATTCAGTTGAGATGGAAACAGTCTGCGAAGCCCTCGATAGTCAAGGAGTCCCTACTCAGTACACAAAGATTCTTCGCGAGTTGTACAAAAATTTCACAACCAAGATATCACCATTCTACAACGATATTAACATTGACGTCAAAAAAGGAGTTAGACAAGGCGATACCATCTCGCCAAAATTATTTACGACCATCCTCCAGAACGTCATGTGAACATTGGAATAGGATAATATGGGAGTGAAAATCGCGGTCGGCAGTTACATCATCTTCGCGTTGCTGATGACATCGTCCTTACAATACCAAACATTAGCCAAGCGGAACGTATGCTCGACGACTTTGATAAAGCCTGTGGAAGGATTGGTCTTCGACTAAATCTCACAAAAACGATATTCATGGAGAACGGATTAGCTTCGTATGCCCCATTCACGCTCAACGGAACGAATATCTCCGAATGCCCCAGTTATGTCTATCTATGTCGGGAAATCAATACGATGAACGACCTAGCTCCAGAGCTGAGCAGAAGGAAACGAGCGGCTGGGGAGCTTTCAAGAGCATTGAGAATGTATTGAAGAAGACAAAGAACACCCGTCTCTGTGCCTACCTTTTCGACTCAGCGGTACTTCCTGCCCTTCCTGCGTCAGAAACCTGGTCGCTGCGTAAGTAGGGTGAAAGGTAACTCAGCGTTATCGAACGCGTAGCCGAAAGGACGATGCTAAGAGTATCTCGTTCCACACATGTGAGGGATGGGAACCGAAGCTCCGATCTGCGTCAACGATCAAAAATCAATGATACCATATTGTACACCAAACAGTCGAAGATAAGGTGGGCCGGACACGTAATGCGTATGAATGACAATCGATGGACATGAGCTGTAAGTGACTGGATTCTTCGGGATATCAAACGTACTGCGGAAAGACCACGGACCCGATGGTCAGAGTTCTTCACAAAGAGCCTTGAAGAAGGATATGATTCTCGACGAGCCCCTAGAGCGAGCAGAACCCACTGAGCTACTCTTGCATGCGACAGGGAAATATGGAAGATTTACTTGCGCCCGCTCGAGTCACTCGACGATCTGGAACTACAGGTGATACAGGTAGTGCGAACACATGAAATTTAATGCGATCTGCGGCTACAAGAAGGGCGTGAAGATCGGCGTCTGTGGAGAGTGTTCTGGCATTACACGTGCATAGTAAGAAACAATCTGCATGGCGTGTCGTGCGTGTGTTCGTCAGAACCGGTTCCAATGACGTCCTGCGTAACCCGAGATTTTCTGGCCTCTCACCGGTCGTCTCACCGCCTGACGTCATAGACGGTAGCACCCAGTGTGCGGAGTGCTGAGGCTCGCCTATTGCTGGTCGTGCAACTTGGTCTTCCCTGGAGTACTGACGTAACCTTGCAAGGGCGTACCCAGGTCTTCACCACGATATGGATCGGAGAGAGGTGTTTTCGGCGACGAATCCTATGCTCGTTCTTCCTACTAGTTGATTCGGAGAGATGTTAAAACCGAAATCAGAAACTAAAGTAGGAATGTAAAAGTAACTGACTGCTCAAGGACTATGTAGAAGCCGAATCTTACATATATATATATATATATATATATATATATGCAGAATACGATGACCTTACGTAATGTATGGTTTGCGTTTGCATCCGTCGTGCATTAGTTAGAAACCATTGAGATCCAAATTTCTTCAATTTTTGAAAAAATTCTAAACAAATGTAGTCGATAAAAATCATGCCCTTAAGATGAAATTACAATGTCTTTTCTAGAAGCGTGTGAGGTTCTCGGCCCCTCAACTTCTCTGGCAATGAAAATATAGTCGTCAGTTTTCTAGAAACAAGCATGGTTGCAAACGTTTCAAGAAAGCTCTATTTCCTTATCGTCTCTATCTTCTCTCTATCTCTATCGTTTTTCAACCATGCACTCCTAAACTATGCGGTCGTAATTCAAAATTAGTTGCATGTTTTTGTAGTTGTATATTTCAGAAGGAACAACAATCACATACAGCGACGAACCAACTGCCAAAAGTTACGTGGTTTCCTCTGAATTGGCTGGCTCGGCACCCTGTTTATCACCACCTGTTCCAACAACACCGCCGCTTTTTCCGTCATTACTCAATCCTACACTACCTCTGAATTCCAGTGCGTTGTTGGAGTATGTTCATCGAATATTGCAGGCAAAGTGAGTTGTACCTAATGTTTGTTTGACGTTTACTTCATTCTAAAAAACAGTTCATTCACTTCTAGACCATCTTCGGATATGCTCTTCCAGCAAATGAATTCAGTCGATGAAGCAAAAAGGGTAAGGCTTACTGCAATTTGGAAAACAAAGAACGATGAGTGTTAAGAGGAGTGCGGAACGGTAGGTTATCCGTCGATTCCTAGAGCCTATTGAAGTTTAACGACGAAATACGTTGCACTAGAAACTAAAAAAGCGATAAAGCTCTCGGCGTTAATCAATCCCTGAGGGATGCGCCATGCCTTCGACTTCATTAAGTATCGCTGGAGGTTACTGAGTGCATATTTGGCCTTTACAATGACTCACAATGCCATACCGATGTATCGAGCCAGTGCTGCTATCCACCCAGACAAGCTTGGTACCAGTTTGCCGACCCCGGAGGGATGGAAGGCTTGGTGGGCCATAGACGTGGGGATCAATTCCACGTGTGGTTACAGGGCGCCTTCAACCACTGGGGTTGCCCTAGAAGTTAACAGGTATTAATCAAAAAATGACAACGGCTGACTTTTTGTGACTACCAAACCGACGACGACATGGGTTATGTGATTCGTGCGTGCTCGGAAATCATTGCGGCTTTAAGCTTTAACCCACTCGTGATGACGCCTAATTTTATGTCCGCCGCAAGCGACAGCTTGTAATTTACAGCCATTACTGACTTTCCGGTTTGGCTTACAATAAACTACAATTTCTTGATAACTATCGGACTTGGGGTTGAAAATCTTGAAGGGTTATAGAAGAATTTGACCTATAGTTCTATCGATATGAACTGTACGTATACCACAATTTACTATTTGTTAAAATGGTCCATCGTGCAAGCAAATTGCTGTCAACATTTTGGAAGGTTTTTCAGCCTATGTTGAGTCCATTTCGCTATAATTTACACCCACAAATCCATTTTCCATTATTTATTAAATCGATTGCGATTGAAGTACCAGTCGACTACTAGCCAAATTACCGGTCAATAAATTCGCTCGAGGTCTTCGTATACTTTAAAGAGCAAAACCAAGCTCATTCCGCCCGGCGGCCACTACATCCGTATTGGATAGCCTATCAACAGGAAATGCAAAGAAAGGCATCTGTACGATAAAACAAACCACGAAAAAAAAATCGCCCCTATATAGCTTATAGCTACAACTCGTGCCGCAATATAATGGACACTACGGTGACCATATCGTCGCGAGTGAGTTAGACAGTCATATCTCAGCTCACAGTGAATTTGTTAACTGAATGAAAAACTCTTAAATTCTACAGATCATATCCACCAAGGTGCAACTTCTCCTATTCTACAGCGATGACGTCTGAACTTCTTAAGACCATAACACATATCTTCTCCGCCTTATTCTTCAAGTGATTAAGCAGGTTTCGTCCAACAAGACGCCTCTTCTTAAATTATACAAAGTTTTCAACTGCTCAATTACAAACGTTATCAAAAAAATGTTGATCGACCAGAACTAGATGTCACCGTCGATAAGGTAATGAGATCACTTCATAAGGGAAAAGGAACAAACAAACAAGAAAACAGATTCCATTTATAGAAATTCTATACTCTGATTACAGATAGGATCTACTTCTCCACTGCTGGCACAGACTTTTCTCCCGACTGTTCAGCTTCTTCAGCATTTTTTCTCCATCATATAGCCACTTAGACTTCCTTACTGAAACCAGAGGCCACATGAGGACAAAACACGCTTCCCATTTTGATGGATGTGATTGAATTATGTGTACTGCAATCAAGTAAAAGCGCAACGTTTCATAAATGATGTATTATAGACAAGTTTACTATTTCACAACTATACGAACTATACAAAACTTTGGGTATGCATTGAGAAAGACCAACGATGGTAAATGCAAAAAACTATTCCTAGCACCTCGCTAGCAGACGCTTTTCGTGTGTTGGCAAAAAAGACAAATCAGCTGTTTCTACTGTTCAGCTTGATAAGGCATACACACTATTCAAGGGATGTTCCACCTGCTAGTTCCTATTACTACAAATCCTATGTACACTTCGACTTAAAGTGTCAAAATGAGCAAATTAATTGCAGTTGACAAATTGACAAACTTTTCTGCTCTTCTACTTCTTTGAAGTTCAACTACATCATTTTGCAATCGTCCCGCTCCGAGAGGCATTCGGATGCGAAAATATTCATGGCGGACGAGAAGTGACGACCGTTTAATATGTACTCCACTACAGCCTAAAACATTCCACTTTTAACCTCGAACTATAGGAAGAAGCTAACAAAGCAATGGAAGTTATGATGACAGGTTCTTTTATCTTCTGAATTCACAAAAAATGAATTACAGAGACCAAAAATTGGTTATTCATCTGCTTTTTATTTAAGCCATTGAGGTGTTTTTTCAGATATAGTCCGACATCACATACTCTGCGGATCCCATCATTTCCGTTCGCTCAAACCGTTGCTTCATATCGTCGTGGGAACAACCTTCGCGTATGGGTTCCTCTACTGCTTGAGGATTTTCAGCCATCTTAGTGAATGCGGTTGATTGCTAGTCGAGTACATTCTTGGAATCTTCGGATACTACGGCGAGGCCAGGTCCTTGTAGCGTTTAGTGGATTTTGCGGAACCGAAGGAAGTTTCCTAGATAAGCCTGTTATCAATTTCACGCTACGAAGGAAAGAAAAGTCGGCCCGATGCTAGAACGGTGCAGCACTTTGCGACAACTGAACAAGATCACCGTTACGCTGAGTCTGCTACAGTCGAACTTGTACCACCTCCCAAGTGCTTCACAACGATTTATTGGAGCATTTCGGAAGAATGGAGATACAGAACATGATCGCCATAGATGCAAGCACATCCAGACATAAGTGCTTACGTGAAAGGACACATTTGAATAGATCTTTGAGACTAGTAAACTAATGCTTCGGATCCGCATTTAGACACCTTCAACTCACTGAGAAGACACTTCATATTCCGCTGCTACAAATCAGCTTGATACATTTCAATGAGATTTGTCGTGGTTGTCACGTTTAGCTAGTGGAACGAAGCGTCAACAATCGCTAATTTTACCAAAAAATATAGCTAAGCTAGATCAAAATCAGAATTCCTGGCCGAAATTGATAAATATATTGCTATGTGTCATAAGACTTAAACCCAAAAAAGACAAAACTTTCCCGCTGCCAAACTCATTTCATAGAGTGGAGGGGAAAACTCGGAAAGTGATTTTGATTAAATGGTCTTTCTTTTGTCAATACAGTTCAATTTGATTTGGCTTAGGCTTACGGGTACAAAAGACTATACATGGCCTTAACAAAAACACACAAAAACGATGACAGACCTAGAAACGTGAAATTGAAGGAAATGTTTGAAAGTAGGAGAATTAGGATCAAATGAACTTTCAATGATACAATCAATGATCAATGAAACAATGATAAGGAATTCGCAGCTACGCTCAGGAATTTTCATACGCGGTGAAACATTGTGACAGATAAAATTGCATACTACACTAGCAGACAAAATCGTAATTTAATAACGGAGAAAACTTGAGTGAAACGCTAAAACAAAGACCTACCCTGGTTAAGTATGTGGCCGTTGACGTTTGTAATGACAGGTTTTCGAGTTGGTAGAATGGAGTCAGATCCTCTCTATTCGCGATTTTCTGCTGATCAGCGTATAAGTAGAAGGCCTTTTTGATCATCTGTATAGGCGTTTAAACGTCGTCAAAATATAAAGTATTTTCGTATTCAAAATGGACATCACTCCCAATCATATTTATATCACTCTACGGCTAGTTCTGCGCTAGTGGAAAGGAGAGGAAGATTTTTGGTTGCAAATGCTACCATAGCTCAACAGTATTTTGCTGTGAACCTTCTGTGTTGTTAATAAAAGCAGTTGCCGAATTAAAATGATTTGCACATACGGAGAGAAATAGTGACCTAACAAACTCCAAAAACTCTGAAAACGACATTTCCGAAGCAGTCTAGTCCATTTCCACAAGTGTGTAATAGAATTACCACCCATGGAATTCCATTCGCAAAACCGTTTGCATCATTTATTTAAAAAAGCGTCCTTGATCTGAAACCTCGTTAAAAAAAACTTACGACATCACAGTCAAGGGGGCCAGACATAAACATAATTTCGTGATTACGCTCCAAGATAGTGGCGATTATGCACAGAAGCTGAAAGAGAAATTTATGGACACTGTTAGAACCGTGGTGTGAGATGAGAGATAAAAAATGTAGACTTTTAGTGATTACTACGTTGTTGAAATTTCATATGCCTATGATTATCCGAAAAGAATTAAATGACTAGCAAATCCGACTCTGGAGCAGAACCAGTGGATGGAATTTTTGGTAAAGAGGACTAGATTTGGTCTAATACATTAGAAAGGCAAGAAAAAGTGAAAAACCGAAGAAACTCTCCGAAACTTGAAAAACCACCTGCTTTACGATATCATTAAAAATTGTAGATTACTACAAATATTTCGTAGAGAACACCGCGAAATTTCATACCTCAACCAGTAGTTGGCGATACTCAGGGTGAGCGATTCGGCTAAGCATTCCTTCAATTTTGTATGCAAATGTCAACTCAAACTCCGTCATATCGCTCAGAGTAGGCTGCTGAATTTGGAGGATTTATGTATCTCAAATGCACGCAGTATGCATCTCAAAACGGTTTACTCTCTTTATTACCGACACATAGCTCTCAACGCTTAATCTCATGTCTGTTACGGATAACGCGGCCGAAACGCAGAACATGATGGACAGGATTGGTTTTTCGACAATAAAAGACAATTTTCCGACAGCTAGAAAACTTAACGGGTTGATAAAAGAACTGGATTGTAGAACACAGAAGAAAGACTATATGTGTTCATGTTATTAAATGTTGTGCAGATCCCAATACTTCTTGAAATTTATATGTCTCAAATAATAGACGATGCTGGTTTTCTGACAACTCAAGATAAAACTTCAACATTCAGAACATGCTCAGGACATAACATGGTTATAGAAGAGACTTTGCCCTACCGCTCTAAGAGAATGGAATTTTATTTTACATGACGCCACATCACATATTGTGCTGATACCAATGATTCCTTCAATCGATTCGTTTCCTCGCATCTATATTCCACGAGGGGTTTTCCGTATGGGTTCGGCTGCTGCTTGAGGATTTTTGTTCTTAATTACAGACGTTGCTGAATGCTAGTCAAGTCGATTCTCCCTGGAATCTTGGGATAGTTTTACCAGGGCCTCCTTAGCTCCTCAACACAAGGTGTACTTTCAGTATTTGCCGATCGTAGGGACCTCCTTCCAAAAAACTGTGGCATAAACTTCGGACCCGCTAGCGGTAAGTTGCCTAGTTGGCCCATAGCGGTGTAGGAACAGGCCATGAGAGTTTTTAGCACATTTACACCACACTGCTAGTCAAGTCGGGGAACGTATAGCTTTTCTACAGTACCATCTTCATTCTTGTGTACTTAAAACTCAAGTTAAAAATATTCAATTTCTAGCTTGATAGAATAAAAAGGCTTTTACTTGACTGAAAAACATATTTGGATTCTTACAGCTCTATTTCACTTGGTAAGGTTCACCATTTGCCGAAACATACTTGCTGAAATGCATACTTCCTTCAAGACATATTTGAACTGAATGAAAAGATCAATCAATAGTTCAAGAAGCTGGTACCACAATAAATGCGTGGAACTGTCCACATATTTCATCACAAATTACGGATCTTTTCCACAGAGGGATCTCCCGCCGTTTAGTCGCAAGGGAAACGGCGCGTTCACAAATTGCGAATGAGGCAAACGCGGACCGAAAGCGACCTCATACTCCCTGAGACGCAGCTGGATCAAGTGTGAACTTCCTGCTTCTGCTTCGTCGATTTAGCATATATATTCTGTATTTACGAAGCCTATTCATGCATGCGTGAGTATGTTTTCGTTTATGCGCATTGCATTCTACGAGTCAATTCCGGTAAAAGCCTGAAATCGAGTAACGGGGAAGTATATGGAAGGCAGTTAAGAATCACCTCCAACAAATAAGTTACCTATCTGCTCTGGGAGAGACTGGAAAACTACCAATGTGTATACAGAGCTCCCACGTTCAAAGCTCAGCAACCTATACGTGGTTATCAAATGCGAAGTAGTAAAATAAGTAGTACTCATTCCTCTGACCCTGAAAGAGCCCCGATTCGGCAGCGCCGAGTAGGACGATCTCAGAAGAGGCGGAGAGGCTGCCATGACCTCAGGGCCATTCTAGGCCACTTAAATCGCACAAAAGTAAGGTAACGATCTCTACCTACAATGCACGGCTACTTCTATCTGAGTTCTGGATACAGGACTTGATCACGCAGACAAGAAAGATAAGGTATGGCATCGTCGGAATGGATGATACGAGAAGACGCACCCTTTCAACGCCGTCTATGACACTGGAGAAGAACTTTTCCTCGGAATATGCGACAGTCGAGTCGGTGGCATCGGTGTTCTCATCAACACGAGTTTAGCCATGAACCGATTCACACGAACAACTAGCAACCCGAATCGGACGTTTACGACTGGATAGACGATGTGGATCAATAATGGCTTTGATAATCTTAGTCGTTTGCGATGCGACATCAAGCCTTGACGAAGAGAAAGTAAAGCCTTCCATATAGACTTGGAAAAGTTCTGCAGAGAAGACCATATATTCTTCAACGCCACCATTGAAGATTTTAACGCTAAGATTGGACCCAGAAGAACGTATGAAGAACGCCACACTGACAGCCACGGACTAGAATGGAACGATCAGGATGAGCTGCTGTCTGAGTTTATCATGGCGACTAAGCGCCACTTTCAACATGTTAGACGTGGGAGTCTCCCAATGGAAAGTGCACTATAAGAGAAAGACCACGTCATAGTAAGTAGAAGGTTTTGCATAACAGATGCCGCTATTGTGCCGAGTAATATGTTCGGCTTATTCAACATCTTCATGTTGGCGATACGAAAGCTAAGAGTTCGAAAGTCACCAAGAGACGTGTGTCTCCAGTAACACTTGTGCTGATACGCCAACGTAGAACCGCACGAGATACAGACTACCGACAACTCACGTCAGAACTTGCAAAACAATGCAAACAGGCGATAAAAGAAGATTTTAAAGAGAGAACAGCAGCAGTTATGCCCGAGGCGGTACGGGCTGGTAATTGTGCTCGTAAAGCCTATCGAAACTTCGCCAATTATAAAACTAAGACGATTTCATTTCGACGCCCCGGTCGGATCAGTAACAGCCCCGCATGTCAAGGGTGGCAGCAAATTTGGCAGAGCTGAGCTACGAACCAATTGTTACATCTTCTTTAATAAGGAAAGCCTGCGCCGCTATGTCTATACTTTTGCAGTTCAGTTGGCTTTAATTGATCTGTGACCGAATATATTGAGTATGAATATAGCTCAAAAACAAGGGCTGTCTACAACTTTAAACCGAAACCGAAAACGAAACCAAAATCTTGAAACATCAGCTGAACTCGCACGCAAATTCGAAAAAACATCATGGAATATGAATGCAGTGAATACGAAGAGGAACAAAGAAGTGCTGTGATAGACAAAACAAGGGGTTTCGGGTCATGTAAAAAAGTGCAGAAAGTAAAAAAAAAGCAATAAAAAGGGAAAACGGGACGATTTATTTAGTTTCGCACTATTCAAACACAATAAAAAAAAGTTTGAAAGAGATAAATTCAGTTAATGGTAAACTGCAATACCTGTGGAAGGAACTCTGATGCGATCACTATCCCATCCTTGGACCTTTCTAAGATCGTCCATACACGATCGTAAAAGTTGGCTGGCATTCGATTCAGAGCACCATTCAAACGACGTGTTTGTAATGGGGACCTGAACTGTTCGGACAAATAAGAACCACTGTTCACAGTAACAAGAGACAAAAATAAACAAAGCTAACAGCAGATGCCAATTTTTTCTTGTCATGAGTGCCGTCACAACATCCTTGACGATTGTTGGAGACAAATCGTAGATACAGCTTTTATTGAACTCTGAAAATTTACTTGAAAACATGGAAGAGAATGAAGAGATAAAGATAACTGCACCTCTAATAGCAGACATAAAGCTATGTTAGGTAGTTCACTGCGTAAATGTAAGAGTTCTACAGAACAATGACAAGCAATAAAAAGAGTTAGATCACGATTTCTAGGAAACATGAAAATTATGTGCGCAGATATGCATACCATCCACTGAATGACAGAACTCTTGTTGAGTTGAAATAGATCCATGAGAGTTGTAAACTGTAAGTGGATTTATACGTCAAAACGTAGTCATAGGAAAACTTAACTGACGGTATTGCTGCTTTGAAAACACGCATCGCCCAATTACTGCTTAACTTATAACGGAGGCACAGCATTTAGCACGGCTGAAGCAATTCCTCGCCGGTTACGGACTTGCTTACTTTTTTAGAATAAATAAAAATTTTCTAATAACTGCGGAACTCGATGAGTTGTAAACGTAACAGGATTATAGAAGAGCTTTTTCTACCATTCTATTGCTATAAATGATTGTATGTTACTATTTATTATGTGTTCTAGTATGGGATCCATCCATCCGGCAGGGTTTCCCAAGCTGAAAAGGAGTCTGATGTTTTCATTAGGAAACCCAGCTAATAGTAAACCAATACTAGGATCGACGACTGTCCTGGTATCAGACTAGTCGGCAAACCATGATACAGTGACTAACCCAGCGAAACTCCGAAAAATGGAGAATATGCTGGGTTACGCACAACCGGTGACGACAGGCCATAGTACAAGGCATGATGTAAATACATTACTATTAGCACTCGAAAATATTTAGCACATTATAGTGTGTCTATTTCGGTGCTTCTTATACCTGTACATTCCACACAATAGTTGTAGTGATTAAAATGAAATACTATCTAATTTTTAGTCACACTAGCGGCCAATGAACTTCTTCGAAAAACAAAGGTCGTTTGGAAACCGTTAACTATGGAAAAGGGCTTTGCTGGACTCACCCCTCCTACTTTTATCTCCTTTCGACTAGCTATCGAATGAATATACATAATGCGGTAAAAAAGTTCTCGAACATACTGAACTGGAAATTAATACTACAGTGTCCATATCGTTCTCTGTACCACAGACTTAGGGACAGTATAGTATGAACTTATTCTCCTGCTAATCTTTTTTCATGGTAAGGTGTTATTTGAAATAAAACCATACGGACGCTTAAGCAAAACTGGAATCTCAGTTGGGTTTCCAGCCTGCGATATCCCCACGGGCAACCACTACGTCCTCGCCCAGCGTTATGGTTTAATTTATGAACACTATAAGACACTATATGTGGATTTTTTAGATGAATATTTGGGACAGAAGTAAACAATCCGGCCAAATTTCATTCTTCGTAGACAAGCCGGATACCGAAATGCATCGAAATCGACAGTTCCCATAGACAAAGGATGGATGAAAAGTTTAGACGGGATAGGGATGATAAATAAAACAGTTGCTATGGTATGAAAACGGGCTGTGCTACAGTGGCACATGTTGGAAGTACGAAGCAGTTCTTCATAAAAACATCAGCCGACATAAATGCAAAAGATAACATGTGCCTGCTTTAAGATGAGGAATATTTAAGGCTGATTAATGTGATGTGCAAGGTTAAAAAAGCTTAAATAAGGTGATAACTAGAACCAACACCATAATATTGACTTTACGGTACAAGGATATGAACGAAACAGAGGAAAGAAACAAACCTGCTGGAATACCAGTAGTGCTTGGTGTAGCAGGAGTTGCTGTTTTACTACCAATGGTCCCAGAACCACTGGTTCGAACGTAGTTCAGCAGAAGTGTGATAGCGTCCGCTAGCCACGAAAGTCGAATAGTGAGTACTCCATCAAATGCTGATGGAGAGTGACACATCTAGAAATACTTTCTTTTAAATGAAGCAAATTATCAAGTTAAAAAATGTCACCTCACAAGATCAGAGCACGCAATGATCAACTCTTGATGCATAACGGCAACTTGTGGTTCATTTTGGGGACAACATGTGAATAGTAAGTCCACTAGTTCATTTGGTGCGATTGGTCGTCGCAGTACTACTTCGCGTACATAACGAACTCCGAGTGTAACCTTCAAGCAACTTTATCCAAACAAAATGTGTCCGAAGAATTAACGAAATAAGGTTTATATGTAATTGACGTTCGATATATCACAATAAGTGAGGTCACCTGCTTCCCTCGAACCAACATATTTGTGATAGCAGGTGCGAGACTGTTGATCACTTTGTGCAAATGACCAGCGCAATAACGCACTAACCACCAAATGCGCAACTGACACACTGTACGATAAAGACGTTCCATGCGCTCACGAATGGAATCTGAAAAAAATCGTAATGAAGAAACCACAGAAGAGAGATATCCATGAGTGACAGAGGCCAGTTTCAAAGCGTACATCCATCGATGGGAGTATCAGGGTGACGCCTAGACCAAATGGTGGCCAATGCAAAAGCCAACTGTCGAGGTCGATCAACGTCATCTCTTCGTATAATTTCACATAGCTCCTGATCCGAAAGTTTTTGTATCTCTTTCTGAAATCGAATTCATGTTATTTCCCAGAGCATACGGTATATGGTACTGAGAAATTGAAAAATGTTATCATTCGTACGATGTCTGTAGCTTCATCATCTATCCCATCACCAAGACTAAGCCTCGACAAAATCTGGCTTTTGCCATTTGTCTCTTCCAGAACGTCAATATCAAATTCCACCTCGTCCGACGAAACAAAGTCAATGTGCTCGATACAACTTGTGTTCAGTAGTTGCTAAAAAAACAAAGAAACCTACTGAAAAAAAAATTACATGCCACAAACATGGAGAGCTCTTTGCTAACGACACTCACATGAACTCTTCCAAGTCGAACTCGGATACTGTTGACGTGACCGTTCTTTAACTGGACAAGAAGATCCAAAATATGGTCGAAGTACTCCCCAACGATATTTTCTTCCCGCAGCAAGAGACACATTGTTGGACGTCCAGCTAACTTCCACCGTCGTGCAACAAAATCGATGTCACGCTGAAAAATCGAAGACAATGGAGGTGCGACAGCTCTTAAACTATATGTTCAATTCGATCCGATGTTTTCCACTTCGCTTCCGCCCACTTATTAAGAAATGTTGGTATTAGTCTAACCACAAAGGAAAATCGTTTTTTACCATAGGTAAAGAAAAATGGATCAAAAACAATAGATTACTAGTCAAATATGCTAAACAAAATCTATCTCCGCTTGAAATTACAATGGTAACCTTTCATTTGCTGCCTTTTACAGTTTTTACAGTAAAGTATGTCAGATACAACTAAAACGATGCTGAGATATTCACAAAACTTAGATCCCAGGCCAGAAATAATGCAGTGTGCAACGTGCGAGCCCCCGGAAAGGTTAATCGTGGTTCAATCTGGCCTGGGGTCTAGGTTTTGCGAATATCTCAGCATCACTGTGGCTCAGTCACTGTTTGCTTAAACAAGGTAGAGGACAAACCATCCGACATATAGAAGTAAAACAATAGCAACACTGTAAACTTAAATTGTTAAGCGATGATTACTTTGAATCGGTTAGTCTTACCTTAATATCATCAATTAAAACTGCTGGATCCGAGTTGACGTAGAAGTCTTTTACTTCAAAGAGAATTGGATAACATAATACCGTGTCGCCGAATACGCGAAAAACCTGCGATATTGAAAGTAGAGGAATTCCTAATAAGATAATATGTTTCAAGGGCTTAAAATAGACCTTAGAAGTATTCAGCGGTCCGAATGGCCGTGGAGGTCTGCCACTAAGACCCAACTTTTCATCTCTACCAAGACATTCGAATAACTAAAAACATAACAAAACAAAAACCTGCTAAATGTGTAGTTATTTCAAGAACACTAAAGTAAAATACTGTTTCTTTGTCATTTTTAATAGCCGACGAATCACCTTCACCATTCTCCAACTTGGCCAAATTTGAATCGGTTTCACTTCGTGGGGTGTTTGACAACTGATACCATATGTGGTCAATTTCATCTGCAGAGGTATTGACTCAGCTAAAAGAGCGATTTGAACCACTGGTTCACCCTCCATGCTTCCCTGAAAACTGTTTAGTATAACCAGCAATATGAAAATCCGTGCACCACAAAAACATCACCTGAAATTCCGAGTGTCGCTTGAACTGCATAGGTCGCCGTGACGCGGGCAAATGACGATTGATCGGATCGAGATCTTCTTTATGGATCAAGCCGCCACCTGGAACAAACAGTTTTGAAACGAGTTTAAATAAGTGGTAATTCTACGCAAATATATATATGTCAATTTACATGTGTAAACACATAAATTAAATAATAAAAGGATAAAGCTGTCGTCGTTGATCAATTCCTGAGGGATGAGCCATGCTTTCGACTTCATTAAGCACCGTTGAAGGTGACTGAATGCATATCTGGCCTTTACAATAACTCGCAGTGGCCCAACGATGCATCGAGTCAGTGCTGTTATTCTCCCAAACAAGTCCGGTACCAATTTGCCGAGCCCCGAGAGATGTACCGGCTTGGTGAGCTTTGGACGCGGCGAAAGATCCCGTATTTATTAGAGGACTCCTCCAACCACTGCCCCACGCACACCTTTTTCTTGCTAAACATCAAAAGTACAAAACATAAATACATATATGTAAACACATATGTATCCAAAAATAAGACTTTTAGGGCTTTTAAACGTACGAATAAGCAGCAAGATTATATATACTGCGTTGCTCCAAAGGTGGTGTCCAAATTCTTGCGGATTAATTGGATAGAATTCAGTGGAGTTCGGTGTAGTACGTTCACGGTCCATATCACATTCGTCAATACAGTAGCACTCAGGTACAACCATACCTCCAGTAACTAAAGAAGCATATGTTTGCGCAATCCAAAACATATTCATAGATTTGAATGCAAACAAACCATTGTCATCGTTTACAAGAAGGTTTTGGAGCTTTTCTAAATACTTGTCTGCGGACTCCTCATCTCCCCGGAAATGAGCTGAATATAGTTGAATAGGAAGAAAGTTTATGGCAACTACGAAAGCTCTAATTATTTTGCCAACATCCAGGATGAAGACAATCCTCATAATTGTGACGCTTTTGGTTCAGCATAATAAGATGAAGGACATTCGAAGAGATCGAATTTTATTCTTATCTGAGAAAGTTTATAATTGCACTTAAGTTCTATGCTAACTCAAACTTCAATCCGCCGTTTACACTACCTCCAAGGAAACGATCTTATTGAAGATAAGAATGTTATAAAACTCACCTGTAAGACTCATATACGCAAAAAACATAGGAAATTGGCTCTCCACACCACGAAATTGTGATGTCTCATGTTCTTCGTAATACATTCTGGTGTTATCTTCAAGTACGCAGTGATATCCATCTCGAAGAAACCTAAATAGACTTCGCTTTAAGCTAAAGGTAGTACGGGTATAAAGGCGGATGAAAGTTAGTGTTCATTAACTCCAACAGTCAGCAATCAGAGAAAGCAAAAATAAGAACAAATTATTAAGGGAGAAAGTTGAAAAAATCATAGACAACAAGTAAAAACCTCCGAACTCCAAACTTGCCCTCTAAGCGTCGGACGCATTTCTGGACTGTTTTTTCGAAAAGACTCTCATTATGAGAAGCGAAAGCCGGCCAACCGACAGACATTAAAAGTGCGGCGTCAGTGTTCTGAAAAAAGACGTTGAATTCAGTTAGAAGAACATACCCAGTAATTGTATCCAATGCATTCGTAAAAAGCAAATTATTTATTTCTCATAAGCGTCTGGGTACTCCGACCTGCATGAGTCATACTTGACTCATTTCCTTTACCGTTTTTATTGATGCGCAAATACATTCTGAAACAACTTTGCATTAAAATTGCGGCTTCATCACCATAGATGTGGCATATGTCGATCTCGAAACGCCATAGTATAATACAGAGATTGTTACTCGGACTAGCTTGTTCTTCTCATGGTGTTACACGGCAAATTCTTCACTTTCTATATAAACAGAGTATACTTGCGCTGGTGAAGAAAGCAATGGTAAGGTACGCTTGCTGTACCTATACATTTAAGTTTAGTACTTCCAGACCTTACTGTGAACCACTGGAACCTATATGGACGTAGTGATAGCAAAGGTATATATTCAGTATCACAAAAAGTTGATTGTAGAAAGCTTACAGTTCTCAATTGCCATTTTTCACGAAAGTTTCTCAAGCTTGTTCTAGCAAGCGAAACGTTTATAATTTAAACTTCTTGTAGCTCCTTTTCAAAACATCTAAACAAATGTTTCCTAAACTACTAATTTCTAGTTATCTGCCTGGCACGTGTAGCACCTGGAGTCGTCACCTTCTGTTAGTGTTTTACTATTCCCTACATAAAAACTTTGTATCCTTGACACTCAACACTGGTATCCTTCAATGCAAGAGCCGTGCGCATGTAGGCACTACCACTTGGTCTATTCAAACCGAGGTCAAGCAAATCTGAGGATTCGACTAATGCACAGCGATCTTTTATACATCGACATGGTAAAAGGTAATTGAAAAGTAATTCCCTGCTTTAAAACACTTGTAACTATTCATATATTAATGTAGTTCCCCAAATTTTTGCATAGCTCCCTTAATATCTGGGAATTTAACCCATTACGTGGTTTTTTTCTTCTTTTTTGTTCCCATTGTTTCGTTTGAAATTTGGAATCCCTATAAAAATGGCTAAACGTCTTACCCTACAAGAGTGTGCCCAATCAGCGACACATTACGAAGTTTGGAAATCCACTGTTCAAGCAGAACGATCGTGGAGAACCATGAAAAGACGACATAACCAAGTGGATGCAAAGACGATCAAGAATTACCATGCAAAGCTCTTGCTTACAGGATTTGCAACGGATAGTCGAAGAGGCGGTCTACCTGATACTTCTAATGAAGCGAAGGCAGTGTTAGTTGTTCAAGAAATGTTTACTCATAGTCCAAAAGAGAAAATTGGACAAACATCAAGGGAAAGTGGGAACCTCTTTGACAGCGTGGAAGTTACAGTCAAATAAGTCGCCTGAATAGCATGCTTGAAAACCGCACTACTGTGAACTATTCCCCGAAGGAGAATGCGACATTCGACCAGAGTACAGAGAGGTGATGTTGCCTTGGTATGAATCCTCTTGTTGGTCTGATATCTTTAGAAATATCATTCAGAATGGTAAGTCGTGGTGCTTGAAAGAGCTAGTCTACATTACCAAATTAATGACTCTGAAATAACTTAAAGGACGAGAGCCAGAAGTTATGCCATCTGTCCCGCAAGAGTTCCTCGTGAAATCAGTTCATGCGGTTCTTGGGCGGCTTTAGAAGTGGCTGGCGAATGCTACTATCAATATCGAACTTTAAATAATACTACATGCCATAAGCTCTCCTTTCATATTCATTTCCTGTAAAAATTATAACTAGGAATAAACTACAAGTACTATGGAGTTTGAAGAGCGCGTGTAACGTAGTGGTCAGAGGCGTGCTGCAATACAGATGGGATCGATCCCCGCGCCTCAGGCTCACCAAGCCTTCCATACCTCCGGTGTCTGCAAAGTTGCACCAGACGTGTCTGGGAGGATAGCAGCACTAGCCCTATACACCGATAGGCCACCGCAAGTCATTATAAAGGCCAAATATGCACTGTATCATCTCTAACGATGCTTAATTAAGTGGAATGTATGGCGCATCCGTCAGGAATTGATCAACGCCGAGAGCTCTGTCCTTGCTCATAGAATTTAAAATGCGGAGTTAGTTTGCAATTACTCTATAGAGTCCCCATGCGGTGACTATGCGCGCGTGATCAACTAAGTGGAAATAAAACTGTGCAGGAGCACCGAAAGCCACATGTGAAAAATTCCGAAGACGACGACTGATAATGGATGCGGGAAACGAGACGAATGCAAGAAGTGTTGGGATCGGTATGGCATAACACATGTGATGTCAGTTCATGTTAAAAAAGGACCACTGCTATTGCATGAAATCAGTAGACTTAAAAACTACTAAACAATATAAAAATACACATTGTATGTTGTGGAACAAATAATGAAAGTCCGACAACACCACCGTAGGATGATGGATGGGTTTCTTCATCGAACACAAAAGATCGACGTGTTCCAGAAACATGGAAGATACACAGATAAAAATTGCGATATAAGAGAAATACTCACTTGTATGGCCCGTCCTCACTGGTTGTGTGGCCACAGCAAAATTCCCGCTTTTTTTCGGAGTTTTGCCAGTTCGTCACCACCAAAGGCGGTCGCCGCCCTTGTGGATCAGAAGGAAACTTGCTACTATGCCAGTAGTTTAATACCAAGACGGCGGTCGATCCTGGTACTGGTTTAGTCTTAGCTGGGGGTCTGCTAATGGAAGCGCCGGACTCTTTCTCAGCGTGGGAGGCGCTACTGAGGGTATGAATCCCCTCGCTGAACATCGCAGCCCGACACCCAAGAACACCTCTCAGCCACGATGAAATGATACATCGTTGGGAGGACAAGAAAAATAAGTACTTAGAGATTAGGAAAAGTGATGAAGCCTAATACATGCACGGCCAAAATGAAACAAAGGTGGTGGAGCAATCCTTCGACGAGGTGCACTAGCCGGCAGCAGTCTGCGTGACTATCACTGCATGTAAAATAAGGTATCGCCGCGAATTTCCTAAGTAATTTAAATGGCGAAGTAATTTTTGCAGACGTTGAAATTTAAGACTTTTTAAGTCTACGCAAAAATACAGTGTCTAATCACATCAATTTGTTCTATTGCAACCACTTAATCTCTATGAGCATCACCTTCGAATTACTTTCCCTCGGTAAAATGGTTTCAAAGGTCGTTCTGTTTCTATTATGCCCATCGATATCCACGTAAATCACCGAAGCACTATTACCGGTTCGTCCATACAGGTTGAATCCATTAATAGCTTCCAGTGCTGCCTAAAACCAACAGACAGGCTATTTTTAGCTCTATAAACCAATGTTGTTGGATCTATCAATAATCAGCGAGAAAGACACATACCTTTACCATACCGATGCTGCTAGCATGAAGTTCAGGAACTCCATTATTATACCGAGTGCCCCGCTCCCACATGCCAAAGTCAGGAGTCCGGTATGTTCGTTCTATGTAAAACACAAGGTTTTGCACGAAATTGACCTCGTGATGGGTATAAATGACCTGAAAATGGCCGTATTTGCGTATTCAATGCACCAATTCCCCGTTAAGTATATATCGTTTTGTTAACACATAGTGCCTTCTCAGTGACATAGCCAATCGGTAAAGGTCTTCTAAGTGCATTAAGAATCAAGCTGACGTGAAAACTCATAAAAGCGCAAAAAAGTTTCTCTTCATATATATATATATGTACATATATATGCGATATATAGAACATAAACATATATGTATGGACATGTTAGATAAACAAGTGAACAAAAGCAATAGGAAAGGGTAATAGCGCGTTCGTTCTACACTGCAGACCTCTGCGGTCCAGAGTTTTGCAAATATCTCAGTATTATTGTGGTTTTAAGTGAAGAAATATAGATATATGTACATATATATAAGTATACATGCATATAAATGTATAAGATACAGATATGTATATACATGTACAAATATTGCAACTACGTTTCCACACCCAACTTTAGTATCCACTAACCTTTCCTCCGCTTGCGATAATTTGAACAAGCGCTAGCAGATAAAGAGCCACCAAGTCCATCTGCATATGACCGTATTGCGCTTCATGCGGGCGATTCAGAACCATTCCAGTCTGCAGGTCAAATCGAGCATGCAGAGCATGCTCAGCGGTGTTGTTTGTTTTAAATGCATCCAACTGAAAAAGGAAAAAAAGAAAACAAAAATAATAGAGGATTTTAGGAACACGCGATGATTAATACAGACAGTGTCACTCTGTTGCATCCAGCAAAACAAGATTCCACGCATCGTCTTCACTGCAGTTTGCCGAAGTTCAGTGTGTCGACCACGTTCATCATCTAAGCGCCTGAATATTCAATCTTTACATAGACCAGAAAAAAATTCAGAATAAAGACTGAATTCAGATAAAACATTGCTAACTTGTATGCGATCGAGCAAGCCCAACTAGCAAGCGCACAGTAGATGCTGTCCTTGACATAACCGGCGTCGCAATCCTTCGAGTATCGAGGAAATAAACCGCTTGTGACGCTTTGAAAGTTTAGTATCAAGTCCTGTGCTGAAAACAGCAGAAAGAGAATATTCGTCGAATTAACAGTTGTAAATAAACATCCATAACAAAGAAAGATAAAATAAACACCCACTGATCTCGTAGATGTGATCGAGTTTCGACTCAGTTGTACCGTATTCCGGTTTCACCTGCTGGAATGGTGTGAGGTAGGCTTGAGTTAAACGTCGAAGCTTAAGGCTACCTGGAGCGCTTCGACGTCGATTCACAGACTTCGACATACCTATATTTCGATATTCTAAATCCAGATAATGATTGCTCTATGTAGTAAAAGCGAAAAAACGCACGAAAGAATAATTTTGAAACCAACGGCCCTTTAACCTCGGTAGTAAAACAATCAACACGTGCTTAAATTGTTGAGCTTATACGAGGTTGAGAATATAGTTTTATTCGGCTGACGTTTTCACTTCTTTGTCTTCATCAGAGCCGATGATCCAGTCGATGGTCCACAGGTGGTCGTCTTCCCGATATCAACAACAACCGCCCTGTATAAAAGACACTGCCTTGTGAGCATACCTCATTCAAGATGTTCTGTACTGAAGGAGATCCGTCTCGCTACGACTACGAAAACATCACATCGAGAAAAAGAACTACTGTGGATCGCCGACTCGACTCGGATCATCGGCTTTTAGGAAAATTAAGACGTCGAAACGTCAGTCGAATACAACTATATTATCAGCCTTGGGTAAGCTCAACAATTTAAGCAAATGCAGGAAAAACTGAAAGAAAGAGAAGTGAAAACGAAGGCTCACAAAACACTTGTATCTGCAAGTGTTTTCATAACTGTGTGAGATAATCGACAATTTTTACTACCCATAAGGCTAAAAGGACCTGTGTGGCGCAGTGGTCGGAGGTCCCCTGCAACACACACGTGGAATCGATCCCTGTTCCCATGGCCCACCAAGCGTTCCATCCCGCCGCGGTCGACAAATTGGTACCAGACTTGTCTGGGAGGATAGCAGCACTGACTCGATACATCGGTAGGCCACCGCGAGTCATTGTAAAGGCCAGATATGCATTCAATCACCTCCAAACGATGCTTAATGAATCCGAATGCATGGCGTATCCCTCAGGGAATGAACAACGTTGAGAGCTTCATCCTTTTAGCTTTATAAGTCAAAAACATGCTAATGAAATATTATTTAGCCCATAAAGCCTCACTCCCGTATCTCGTGGTTGCTGCAATCGACCACGAGCAATGGTTACGGACTTTCTGGTTTTTCGACAACAAAGAATAATCTTCCACTAAGTAGAGTGCCTTAGGGGTTGTGAACACAACATAGTTTCAAAAAAGACTCTGCTCTATCGTTCTACTGGCATGAATGATATGATATACATGCTACTACTTACTGTGGTGGAATAGCCCATTATGCAAATACATTTCCGTCAGTACTTGGAAATGCTTTGCACCCATTTTGAATCAATTCCAGTGCTTTTTATACTCGAGTATTCTATACAACTACCGTAGTGATTAAAACAAAAGACATTTAATTGTTACCCGAATAATCGACCAATGAATTTCGAGAGAAGGGTTTTTGTGAATTATTAAGTGAAACGGGTTTTCTAATCTTACTTCAACAGCTTTCATTTTTCCGTCCTCCATTAGCTATCGAATGAATACACATAGCACAGTGGAAGAGGACTCTAGAATCCACCAGCCTGAACATGGACACTACAGAGTCCACACGGGGCGTTATGGATTGATAGCCGAGTTCGACCTCGCTAGAAACTTCTAGTATCCGCATGGTTAGCACCGCCAAGAAAACCCATCTCCCTCATGGTCTATCGTCTGGGCATCGCTTGGTCTGTAAAATCCCCAAGTGTCGCTTAACTATATTCGAAAAAAAAGTCGACTATGGGAGATATATCGTGAGTAAAGATTGTAGTTTACAGGAATCTTTGCAAATAAGACGTTTCTCTTAACGAAAACCACTTCCAGGTAAATGCAAATTCGGTGTTCCGAAGCTCTACAATCCATTATTTCCTCTCTTCAATGTTTTTCACGGGATTTCTTCCTCATCGATATCGAATAAACTGATACTCGAGTCGACGTCGGGCCACAAAAGTTGAGCTGGACGCAAAGATCTATGGTGATACTCACAGTTTCACATTAGAAAAATGGCAGATTAAAGCACTTACAAGTCTTAACTACAGAGAGTTCAATGAGGCGCTGCTAGACACGATCGATGGTTTATTGGCAAGTAGTCCTGCTGAAGTAAGAAGTATTACTTGGACGAAATTATGACAATGGTGAAGAGAAACAGTACACAATCTCCAATGAGAACACTAAATCACTAAAGACGCATAAGCATTACAACGTATTCCAAGGACCGGATTCGCCGACATGTGACCACATCGCATTAGGGAGCTGACGCTGGGTCAGGATGTCGTCCTACTGCTCACTTCCCTCTCGCATTGCGCGCCCCTAGAGGTGGCTCAGTTCGGAACAAAAATGCATTAAACCCCTGTGTAAGTACAGAAGTGTTTCGTGCAGTGGGTCTCTTAAAAATTGAACGATTCTTCGAAGTATTTGTCCAAGAAGCTTCTGGTAATAAGCTACGGTACATCTCATGTCGGCTTCTATCAATAATTCAAAGATTTATACAGAACAAGTTGGTGATTGTCCAAAAAAAGCTGTTCCACATGCGATTGAAATATTGGTATTGAATTTTTATGCCGAGCTTATGAAAGTGTTTAACTGCGTGGACTAATCATCATTCTGACCTTTTGGGGGTCTGAAAAAGGCAACACTGCCGAAACGTTAACCACTGCTGAATACGCCTTGTTACAAACGACTCCATGTCTAGTAAAAAAGAAAACACGGACTTAATAGACAGTGCAGAGGCTAGTAGAAAGCTGGTCCTGGGAATTTCTACTGCTAGACTTTGAAACTCTTTGTGCGGGTCAAGTGTCAAGCTGTCGCTTTTGCAGCCTGCGAGATGTTGGGCCAGTACGACTGCTCGTAACTATGACCAAGTGTACTTGATGCTTGTCAAAATCAAGAGGCATCTCATATAGTCCATCTCTTATACACAAATGGATCATATTGCCATTCTGGCTAATCAGAGCGAAATGTATTGTAGTTCCAAGATCCGGGATACACATCCTGACCAGTCAATGTCTGCTGGCTAAACATCGGAGTTCTGCTACTAAATAATCTGGAGTTGGGTGGTGCCTTTTCGGTGTTAAAAAATTGCTATGTAAACAATCCCTAAAGACAACGTGACAAGCCGGAAATGCCCTACAATACATATCTTGTCGCTTGGAGCAATGAATCTCCAGTAGAGGAAGAGGACTGTGCCTTAAGCAGTGCTTTTCCATGCGAGCAATATGTTCAAAAGGAAAACTTAGCGAAGCTCTATATAACTCCAATCATCGACCAATACCCATCTTTATTCTATATAAGTTAAAATAAAAAAGGATAAGGCTCTCGGCGTTGATCAATCGCTGAAGAATGCGCCAAGTGTTCGACTTCATTAAGCACCGTTTGCGGTGACTGAATGCATATCTGGCCTTTACAATGACTCGCCGTGGGCCACCGATGTATTGAGCCAGTGCTGCTATCCTCCTAGATAAGTCTGGTGGCAATTTACCGAGCAGAAGGGATGGAAGGCTTGATGGGACAGGGGCGCGGGATCAATCGCATGTGTATTGCTTCGAACAGTGCGCTACACGTGCCCTTCTGCATCAGCTGCCGATTAAAATTAGTCGCATCGAATTGACGCCGGTCGAGGTTTGCACTCCTCGACAGTGCAGAGTAGCAACTGATTGTTCTGATCGTCTCCCAATTTCAGACGACTTATCATAAATGCTAACAATATGGACATCAAATGACTTCGAGGTTTCTTTGCATTCTAGTGACCTCGTTGTTCGTGGCAAAACCTCAGCTCTTTTCTGTGCTGCCTACCAACGAATGCAATGATGAGGACATCTGCCGAGTAACCACCATACCTCCTAAGCCTCTTTTCGGCCATGTTCTGTCCTTATATCTTAAAACTTGAAGAAAGCCACAAACACGAACAAAAATCACAATGATGCACTGATACTTGCAAAATTTCGGGCGCCAGGTCAAATTCGAACCCGGGAGTACCCTTTTAGGCGGCTCACGTGCTACCCACTGCGCCACCGCAGTCCTTGCTTTGCCTTTATCTCAAACAGTATTTTACCCTTATGGTGCTACCAGCAATGACTCATCAACAGCAATGGTCTAGAGAGCACAAACCGGCTCTGAACCCAGTTAAGCTGCAGTTGGTACCACATGAGCCCACAGAAAAGGTAATCGCAGGCACCAAGCTGGCCTGGGTTTCTGAGTTGCGCAAGTGTCTCAACACCATTGTGGCTTCACATAATACCCCGTCACAAAAAAAAAAGGATAGCCAGTAAATAAAAAACTAAACACGAAGTACTGTAAGAAAATCAATGTGTAATTACGAAGGATACATTTTCGAGTCGTTTATTTAGTCTATGTACTTCGATACCACCCAGTTCTACTGCGTGCAATGGTTTAATTTTTTTCCTCATTGTAGTTCTTTTGGCATTTACGAGTTTATTCTGTCTTAATGTTGCAGTTTGTGAAGATGGATGTTTTAAAAACTTTGAAGGAAGAGGTAGCGAGGAAGCGGAAAGCGATAGCTGAGTTCGAAGTGAAGGTATGTTTTCATCGATTCGCTTATATTTCTATTAGTTTGGCAGTTGAACATGTCGTGTATGAAGAAATCTCAAAAGTGCTCGACGGATTGTCTAGGTCGATGGGAAAAAATTTATAAGAGGTGCAGATGTAGTTTCCAAACAAGAGGAGCAATACTGGGATAAGCAGAGGATGAAACAGGCCGCTAAAGCAGACTCAGCAGAGGTTCTTATATCTTTTATCACTTTTTCTATTGGGTAGACGGTTTATGAAATCGGGTCTAATGCAATGTGCAGGAAGGAAGTAGCACCGTTGATTCCTTGGATGAACGGGATGCTCAGCTTGAGAAGTCAGTTGCTGATGAGATCCCTATGTCTGAAGTTCGCAAGCGGTTAAGAGACAGAGGACAGCCTATAATTTTATTTGGTTCGTTTCTTTCACTACTTTTGATTGAGAGTTCGTCTTATCCATGGGGTCAGTCCTATAATCTCAATTATTGTAGGCGAAAGCGAGTCACAAATTCGCAGTCGTTTGTTGAAGTTAGAAATTGAGCAGCCGGATATGAAAGAAGGTTGGAAAAATGAAATGCAAACTGCGATGCGAGATGTCGATGAGGAGCTTGTTAAGGTAGGGTAGGGTGAAGTATTCTTTCATAAAGATTTCTGGGCCACCATACTTGTTTTAGGAAGTAATCGAAGGCTCGTCGAATGATCCCAACAGGCACGATGTGGACTTGTCCTCTTCATTTAATGACAACTGGGAGAAAATTGAAGAGCAAGCGACGTTACTTGGTGTCGGTAAGACTCTTAAATTGTCTTTTTTTTTGCTCGTATATTTCGCCTACTTAACAACTATCCCTTGATAGGTGGTTTCATACAAATTAACCATCCATTAGTTTATCTTTGTGTTTACCATTAACGATTAGCTCCAATGATTTCGTTCTTTAAGTCTTTTCTTCTTATTTCTCATTTTTCGAAATAGAAGTGAAAGATATTCTGTGTAGATGCTTGTGCTGGGGTCTTGCTCTATGTGTTGGTGTGTAAAAGCTGTGGAAGAATTTCTCTAAAGTTTCGTAGTACTAAATTGCACTCTTTCCATCACCATTTGTATTCATTAGTACAGTACATATTGTGGCTCCTAGTGGTTTCCGTTTGTTTTCTGCACTAGAATACTAAAATTAAAAGGAAAGTGTTAACTTTTTATTTGCTGTCTACTAAAATTTCCCGGTAAGGTATGCTGTGAAATGCGACTGTGGTGACGCTGAGATAATTACAAAACTCCGGAACTATGTTTGCGATGAGGGAAGAACTCGCTATTACCTTTTCCGGAGCCTAACACGTTCATTCATTGTGATTTCGAAACAGCCTCAGCTTAACTGGCTTCAGTGATGATTGGCGCTCCCTAAATGGGTGATTACTGATGGCACTGGTAGATAGAAAACTTACTTGGCCATGTGGATGGCCCATCTTCATTGGTTGTGCGTACTCCAGCATAATTCCCATCGTTTCGGAGTTTTGCTAGTCTAGCCATCGTGGTTCCCTGGAGTTCCGAGTTCAGCCTGGCTAAAGTTTGGCCCAGGTCTTCACCACCACAGGCAGTCGCCATCCTTTGTGGATCAGAGCAAGATTTGCCACTATGCGACTAGTTTTATACCAGGACAGTGGTGGATCCTGGTATTGGTTTACTCTTAGCTAGACTTCCTGATGGAACCTGCCGGGAAGACGAATCCTCCTGCTGTACATCACAGTCCGACACCCAGCAACACCACCCAGTCACGATGAGGCGGTAAACCGTTAAGAGGAGATGGAAAACTAGGTGAAAGGAAGGCGAGACGAAAGACCCCCATTGTGTGGTGGTGAAATCATGGGGACTAAGTGGAACTAAAAGTCCGACGTTAAATGAGGCATCGTGTCATTTATCCCTAACTCAAATGGAAAATTAGCTGTCGTTGTGTCGAAGGAAGTAAATCTTGATAGTTGCAGATTTTATCTGCATACCCGAAATAATGCTTGGTTGGAGGCGCCACTGCGACACAGACGTGAAATCGATCCCGCGCCCATGACTCGCTAAGCCTTCCATCTCTCTGGGGTCGGCAAATTGGTGGCAGACTTGTCTGGGAGGATAGAAGCAGTGGCTGGATACATCGGTAGGCCACGGCTAGTCATTATAATGACCAGATATGCATTCAATCACCTTCAACGATACTTAATGAAGTCGATTGCATGACGGATCCCCCAGGGATTGATTAATGTCGAGAGCGTTATCCCTTTATTATACCTGAAAGAGTATATTAGTAAGTCGTGAAAATTGTGTAGATTGTCAAATACGGTAGAATGTAGTTTTTCTCGAATCATACAGAGATCAGTGTGTGTAGTAGCTAAGTTGTCGGTTGAGCACAAAAAGTGTGATTAGGAAGGCATGTAAAAGATTGCGCAGTCGAAAAGAAGTGCTTCAGAATTCACGCATGCGGAATAACCAATTTCTTTCCGAATGCATTGAACTCAATACGTTCTGTTGTTGATGTGTTCACTGGCGTCATTATTACTTATGGTTATGCATACATCGAATATGTGAAACTTTTTACAGTGTCTGGTTCCTAAGTAAGCGTAGACATCCGTTAAAAAGATAATATTCCAGTAGGTGTAAATGGACGGCATGAAAATCACCATGCCGTTGTTTTAATGGTTCCAATACTTGATTTTTTCAAACCTAATTCATTTAGGTAATGATCCGCACAGAGACTGTGATATTATTTTGTCGTTTTTTAAATATCTGATAACGCGATGGGGGAAGGAATTGAACAAGAGGGACGATGAAGAGAAGAAGAGTCCAGCTGGTTAGTTTTTCAAAGTTTGCGAAATAAAGGTTATTTTTAATGTCTAGATTTGTACAAGGTGGCCGATGTTCTAGCAATTCAAAAGCCTGATTTTCACTTAACCTCGGCACGAGTCAGAAATATCTTGCACACTGTCATTGTTTAACCTAATGCGAGGTTGTTATTCTTTCTGTTTCATATTCGACGGTTTCGGCCATTTCGTCTTCGTCAGAGGCTAGACGTATTAGACACCAGTAATCTTATTCTGTTGTTATTATTACTATTACAATATTTATTTTTCTACTTATTCTATTTTTCTCCAACCGAATATTGGTGTCTAATACGTATAAGCTCTGAAGAAGGCGAAATCGCCGAAACAATACCCATCGTATTTGAGGAACAAGAGTTGACAACTTCGCACTAACTTAAACGAGGGCGGTTACTAAGATGTTGTCTTAGTTATATCCGCTGCTGAGGTATTTGCTCTTTACTCGAAACAAAACGTTTTTTGCCATAACATGCGGGCCACAAGTAGTTCTACTTGTAACTTTGATTTTAGGTAAGCTACAAGCTAGTATTCATAAGCAGTCGGTAATGAACTTAAAGCCTTTGTTGACTTCATTGGAAAACCACTCGTGCAACAATGACATTCGCCATCATCTAACCAATATTTGCAGGTTATCTGTTTAGGAACGTTTTATTTTTTATTTACTGCCTATTATTTTTTCATGGCAGGGTATTATGTAAAATACAAATACAATGACGCTGAGATATGAGCAAAAATCGGAACCTCATGTGCGCTTTGAGCCACTGATTAGTCTTTCCATGAGTTCTTCCATTCCATCCATGTACTTACAATTTCCTCAATTTCCACTTAATACTGCGGCTTGAAAACTTCCCTGTTCTTCCATCACTGACCCGATTAATGCTTGGCGTGTTTGCTAGGGGGTTCTGAGATCTTCGCTTTAAGCAGTCATCAGCTCTTCTGGACAGAGGTTTACTATTTTGTGACTTGAATTATTCTTGATTATCAGCGATTGATATGACAAAAGCGTAGTGATTGCGATTAGTCGCCTTACCGAACGAGGACGACATAGCAACCTATGATGGTTTCGTAACAATAGCGAGTGAAGAGTCTGGTCCGCGTGAGCATGACGTCATTGAATTTGGGTCATCCGAGAATTGTACCTACAAATTAAGGGATGTTCATAATAAACATGGTCTTTTCCTCAGTCGCGGGTTTTTGAGACGTCAGTTCTTAGAAACAGAGTTTTCAACTGGCATGGCTATCAACTAGTCATTATTTTGTAGATTAAAACAAATACGTTTCAGCAAGAACTGTTGTTAAATATATATATATATAATGTATATATATGTAATATATAAAGATCTTTACACAAAGTTAGAGGTATTTATGGTCATTTGATGAGTAATATTTAAAAAGAGCGATCTTTTCCTAAATACTTACGACTTCAACATTGGGTGAGGTATTGTAGTCGAAGGATGGAAGGAATAAGAGGCCAAACCGGATGATCAAGTCGTCCTACAGGAGGCTCTGATACGAAAAGCACAGCGGTTTCCTTTGAGGTGGCTTGTAGGTTATTAGCTCGAAATGTTTTTTACTATTTCGTGAAATGAATAAAAAGAGGTGTGTAATTTTTTAAAGAGTGTAGGAGATAACAAGAGGAAAATACAAAAAGATGTTAGAACCGACAGGGGCACTGGTAGTGATCCCGTCCGCAACGCAAACGGCTCAACCACCCAGGCGTTGGTTTGGCCTACAACAGGCCCAAGAAGTCCCTCATCCGTCCTGGATCGTGAAATCAATACCAAACTTGTCTCTGACGAGCTAATTCCTGTTCTACGTAGGAAAACTCTGGCACGGTTATCTCAGGATTTCAGGAGAAATTGAGTCGATCAGCATTTAACGACATTTACGACGAGAAAAAGTCCTCAAACGGCTTCAATCTGAAGCCACACGCAGTAAAAGCTCGAAGACTATCGTTGACGATGAATACGAAGAACGAATCGAATGCAAGAAGTGCTGAGATCCGGAAAATGCGATACATGTGGTGTTGGTTGGTTTATTAAAAAAGAAAATTGGAACCCACGTCAGTATTATATTTTTCGTAATTTTCAGTTTTCGATATCTTCGTAACACTCCTTAGCCCTAACAAATCTGAGGAAGATATCTCGAACTCTGATAATATGAATCGAGTATGATCATGCTACGGTTATCCATCATAGCCGGTTGACATACCAGAAATGGTGCTGGTTCCGAGTTTTGCTCATATCTCAGCTTAATTGTGATTCTGTTTAGTTTCTTGAAAACGGACCAATTGAACACTTACCATAATTTGATTTACCTTCAGGCTATTAATAATTGACAGAAATTACATCTTAGCAAACAACGCTTATATGACTATGGCTATCGGAAATGCTCCTTGGCCAGTTGGAGTAACGCGATCAGGTCCTCCTTATTTCTATTGAGTAATTTGAATCATGAGAGAAATTACCAATTCTGTTAATGAAACAATAAGAATGCTAGTGAGCAAAGGTTTTTTATAGGTATCCATCAACGTCCTGGTTCAGCGAAAGCGTACGTTTCGAACATTGCCCATGTTTTAAACGACGAGACGCAGCGCAAGTATATTCAAGCATTTAAAAGATTGATGACAAGAATGCAAGAGTACTTTCCAACTGATCCTTCGAAGTGTGTAGAGTTTGTCCGATCGTAGTATTTGTGGATGTTTCTTGGACCAATAAATATTTCTAGTAGGTTTGGTAATTAGTTGAATGTAGTGAGAATTACATTTGCTATCTTCCTAAGGTTTTTTAGAGTATTAGCTCTGTCATATGAATTTTCCGCTTCTACTTTTAGTTACAATTAATAATGTCAGACAATGATGTTGGAAATGTAGAAATGGGAGATTTAGATGAAGAGGAACTAGAGGATTTAGACACCAAAATTGCCTCCTTAAAGAAGCAGGTTGGTTTTTATTCATCGTGGGTGGAATTGCTGACAATGATACTGATTTTGTTTACGTCGAAATGCATAGGGTTAGTTGTGTTGAAATAAAAGAAAATGAATCCAGGGGAAGGGAGCTACAGTGTTAGCGAGAACGACCACCAAGATCAAGGTGCTGGTTCCTCTCTGAGCCGGTCTGCCTAAGCTATCCTCATTTTTTTTTTGAAGAGGAGGAGGAGGAGGAGGTGGGAGGAGAAATTGGGTCCAAATTCTGGGAAGGGTACGCGAAGAAACCGATTGAATGAGAGGAGTTCTGGATTTGCAAAGTCGATGCGAAAGATGGGTCGGGTAAAAAAAAGAGTTCTAAGTGTAAAGAACTTCAGAGTTGAATATGATTGTTGCGGGAGGTTGCTGTGCATGATTTGGCCACTTGACTTATAATTTGTTCATTTTTTCTGTCCATTACGAAGAGGTCGAAAACCAATGAGGCGCTTTCATTTCTTACTTGTTTTTGTTCATTGAAACTTACCAGAAATGTCATTTCATTCGGATACTGCACAGCTTTGGTTGTAGCCACTCAAAAATGGTTTACCACCTGTGAAACACCGTCATCGTAGAGTTTATGTTAAGGTGAATATTGCAGCTTTTAAAAAAAGTGTGGTGGCATATATTAGTTCGTGTACTTTTCTTCCGCTATCTCCCGAATGGTGTTTTTTGGCGCCGCTGGTAAAGTAACAGAAGATGGATATTGGCGTATTTCTATGTGATCACACACGAAAGCACCAGTTTCTAGTTCTAAGTTCCACTGTCGAAGTATCCGTATGATTAATATCCGGGAAAGCGATGTAGAGGAGAAGCTGGTTCCGTTTTCTGTGGCGAAGACTTGGGCGTCCATAAGTTTCCAGAGCGTTTTGAACTTGTGACAAGTAGACGTGGTGTTAATATTCTATATTGACTTTATATTAGACAAAGCCCACCAAACCTTCGTCAATTACAAGACCAAGTCTATTGCACACCGATGCCCAAACGGAACAATTACAGCATCCAGAAATGCAATGGGGAAAATCATTCACGACTACTGCTTAGATCTCTTCAATAGCCACGTCCGTCATATTAAATAAAGGAGGATGGATATGTTGTACTACCGGTTCTCCTTTCGGAAATCTGATAGGCCATTTCTTCGGTGAAAAATCGAACAGCACCACATCCGGTCAGGATAAGACCAGAACATCTAAAAAACCTTCCGCCAGTCCTCGTAAGCACACTGGCTAGGCTCTTCACACGTTACCTGTTTGAATGCAAGGTCCTTAATCAGTGGAAGACCAGTAAGACCGTGTTATTGTTCAAGAAGGGTGACCTACACGATATCGGCAACTATCGCCCAATCTACTTGCTGTCTGTTGTCTACAAACTTTTCACTCGAGTCATCCAAGATAGGGTTGACAGAACACTGGACGAAGGACAGCCATATGAGCAAGCAGAGTTTCGAAGAGGATTTAGTACGACGGACAACATCCACACGATAACAAGGCTCACTGAAGTATCGCGAGAGTACAAAAGACCACTCTGTTTCACTTTCATCGATATCAAGAATGCTTTTAACTCATATGTAATGCTGAGATATTTGCAAAACTCCACCCCACAGGTGTATGCGGTGGAGAACGAACGCGCGCTATTGTCCTTTCCGGGGAGTAGCGCACTTCGCCACCACACCATGTAGGTCCTTCGTTTCGCCTGTCTCTTAGCTAGTTTCATTGATCTTTTTGCCATCAGCAATCACCCATCAACGGGATTTATCTGGGGAGCCCAAATCGGCATTGAACCCAGTTAAGCTGAGGCTTAGTTATAGTCACAATCTTAACCCTTTTATTTACTGCCATTAAAAAAGAAAAAGGCAGTAAATAAAAGGGTTAAGCTTTTAGCTCAGTTGAGATAGAAGAAGTCATAGAGGCCCTGGACGGTCAGGGAGTCCCTACTCAGTATACAGAGTTTCTTCGTTAGCTGTATAAAAATATCACAACCAAAATATCACCATTCTACAACTATACTGGCATCGACAGCGTTAAAAGAGAGAGGTAGACAAGGCGATACCATCTCAACAAAAACATGTACCGCCACTCTCGAGAACGTCATACGAACATTGGAATGGGACAAGGAGAATAAGGTCGAAAGGACGATGGTAGGGGTATCCCGTGCCACACAAGCAAGGAAAGAGATCCTAAGCCCTGACATGCATCAATGATCAAAAATCGGAGATACCGTTCTGTACACCAAACAGTCGAAGATAAGGTGGGCCGGACGCGTAATGCGTATGATTGACAACCGATGGACAAGAACCGTTAGTGACTGGATTCCTCGGAATGTCAAACGTACTGCAGGAAGACCACCGACTCGATGGTCGGAGTTCTTCACGAAAAACCTAGGAGAAAGATGTTTTGCGTGCAACAGGGAAAAATGGAAGATTTATTGCGCCCACTTGAGTAACAACGGAATACGGGTGATACACGTAACTTGTTTTTTCAACTCGACTTTTACGTAACATCGGTTCGGGTAATCAGTACATTTGTTTGGAGTGTTCAGTTTCCAAGAACTTCTTTAGAAAAATGTCCGTTCGTCTAACGTTTCAAAGCATTCACAGTCTTGAGAACTTCTATGATTGGAGTCGAGTCTCCACAATCGTCGATTCTTGCGGTGTGTCTTCGGTGCCACATCAAGTCAATTCCAGTGGAGCACCGCTCTGAGTAACCTCACACGACAGTGTCGAAAGAAGTAACCTCACTGTGTAAAAGAGGACTCTCGTCATCATCAAAAAACCATCCGTCGTTAACAACACGGAAGTTCCCCAAAGGCTACGCTCTGATGAAGGCGAAGTTGCCGAAACGTCAGCCATTGAGCAGAGACGTCAGCAACAATAAGAACATCTTTACTTACCTCACTTCGGATAAAAGCGCAGGTCATAAGGACGTATATACAGATATGTCTGTTATTATACAGAGGTTTATAGAAAGCCGATCTTTTGAGTTATTAAGAGATGTACGAGCAAAACAACACTATTGCTAATTAGCTGGCAGACAGTCTCAACCGTGATCAGTAAGAGGGCACTGTTGGTTGAGGTAACCTCATTCCAGCAGTGTTCCACTGCAGAAGATTCGACATGTGGTTATGAAAACGCGCATGACAAGGATGAACTGCTATGGGTAATTCTTCCGAACGTGGCTCTAAAGAAGACGTGGATGCCGAAACGTTAGCGGAAGAGAGATTTTGTAACACCATCATATAGACTGCACAATATAAGGAAGTGTTAACTTCTTATTTTAGTAAATGTATAAGTTTTCGTGAACAGTTTTTCCCAATCTTAAAATCGCTTGTTTCACTCAGTTCCGAAAAATTTACATTTTTCGGTGATCATCCATACGAAGACAGATTGCCTTGTTGGAGCTTTATAACCACTTGCTCGTGATTTTTTGGTTTTTGGCAGCTCACATCTTCCAATCATATCATGTTAAACCAAACTATTGAACTAAGGCATTGAGAGCAAGGTAGAAACATTTGGTGTACTTCTATTAACGCAGTCTATGCTCCTTAAGAGGGAATACGTATGTGCCATTTCCTTCCAGGTTTCACGAAGTCCGTACGATGCTGCACTAAATTTCGAGCTGATATCGTTATTGCGAAGGAATGGTGATTTAGATGAATTAGCTGAAACCAGAGAGAGAATTGCGGCCAAGTTACCTCTTCCTAGTAATCTTTGGATTGAGTGGATAGAGTAAGACTTCTTTTAATGAGTGCCTGACAGACCTGCTGGTAATTGTCGACTCGATAACTGCTGCTTTCAGGGACGAACGATCGTCTGGTGCTGTGCGAGAGCGTATTGTGGAGCTATTTGAAAAGGCTGTGTTTGATTCCAATTCACTTGACGTTTGGATAGAATTTGTGCAATGGGCCTGTGGAATCGATCCTGTCTTTGCCAGAGGAGTACTGTAATTCCTTCCAGATCACATTTTTCTGTTATTTCTGTGAACAAAATTGTTAGCACTTTGTTAACCTTTTCTATAGAAATTTGAAGCTGCCGTCGCATCTATTGGACTTCGCGTAGACGTGGGTGCAATGATATGGCAGGCTTTTCTGTGCTTCGAGGAAGCTATCCTTTCAGGTAAGAAAGTTGCAGAATAGTTTTAAAAAGATTTTGCGATTTTTTTCGAAAACAAATGAGGCGTTCAATAGTAATCCACGGATGGACTCATTTTTTAAGCAGGTATTGGGTCATATTTAGTCTTAAAACTGACGATATGAATACAGTGATATAGAGATATTTGCAAAACTCCGGACCGTCTGCGGCAGAGGTTGGAGCTCGCTATAACCTTTTAAGGAGTTCACCACCACATCATGTGTGTCCTTCGTTTCGCTTTTCTCTCACCCATCCTTTACAAACTCTATCAGCAGTTACCTGTCAACGGGATTCATCTGGGGAGCACAAATCAGCATTGAGCCCAGTGAAGCTGAAACTGTAGTGTAAGTCACAATGTAACAACTTTTTATTCAGAAAGAAAAGTTGAGAGAAAGACGAAACGGAGGACACGATAAAAGGTAATAGCGAGCTTCAATCCCCGCCGCAGACACCTGCGGTCCGAGTTTTACAAATATCTCAGCATCATTGTAGTAAATTTCACATCATAGCTTGCCATGAAAAAAGAATAGGCAATAAATAAAAATTGGTTGCTTTTCTTAGTAACGATATGTTAAAGAAAGTTTTCCAGGAGACGAAACAAATGAGAAGCAAATTAAAATTGTGAATTCGTTATATAAACGTGCCCTTCGCGTTCCGAATATTGAACTTGCCGAAATTTGGAAGAGCTATTTGGAGTTTGCAGGTGTGTTTCAATTGTAGCACTGATTAATTGATTTCTTCAACTTTGTTCTGACATATTCTTATGTAAATTTATTTTCTTTATGGTATAATTGAATTTCGTGCCATCGTTTTTCCATAGTTGAGCACATCATGGAATTCCACTGTAGGTGAAAAGGTTGATGAAGACATTCGTTCTGTTTATGAGATGTCAACTTCGAAAATGAAGGACTATTCGAAATATGAGTTGAAGCTCGCTGAATCCGACGACAGCATAGACGCATTCTGTGAATATCTGAACTACGAAAAAGGTTAGCGATAACGTCGTTAAAATTAGTGCTCTGTTTATGCTCAGGGTATGTGTTTAACTACAAGCTTCACTTTGTGTCTGTCATTTTGTCTATCGATTATTAGTCATTAGTTTTCAATTCGTTTTCTGCTTGTGGATTCCGACTTCTTTTTAGATCAGGACGACCCTGTAAGAATACAGTCGTTTTACGAGCGTATATTAGATAAACATCCTCGGGATGAAAGTGTATGGTTTGACTATGGGCAATGGTGCGAAACAAAATTAAAAGTCCATTCGGTGGGAATTTCTTTTTTGTTTGAAATCTTTGTGATAGTTTACATTTCTCACCTCATGATTAGTACTTGAGCACTTTTTATTCCAATAAGTAAATGAGCCAACAGTGATCCAAACGGTTTACCGCCTCATTGTGGCTGGGAGGTATTCTTGGGTGTCGGGTTGCGATGTACCGCGTAGTTGTTCAACTCCTCGCGGTAGTTTCTCCCAGGCTGAGAAGGAGTCTGGCGTTTCTCTCAGGAAGCCTAGCTGAGAGTAAACCAATATCGAGATCCACCACCGTTCTGGTATGAAACTAGTCGCGTGGTGACAAATCTCTCTCTGATCCACAAGGGCAGCAATTGGCTGTGGTGGTGACGACCTTGGACAAACTTTGACCAGGCTAACGTAGTGATTCCAAAGGACCACAGTGGCTAGGCCTGCAAAACTCTGAAAGAGCGAAAATTATGCTAGGGCCCCCACAACTAGTGAAAATGGGTCATTCAAGTGTTCAAATAGTAAGTGGGTGACCCGTCGACAATAGTCGAGAGAGGAATTTTCAATTTGTTCCTTCCTCTCTACTTATTTGTTTCACTAAATCACAGGACGACGTTGCTATCCAAGATCTTCTGAACTGGATCATAAGGCTTGATAGTAGGTGACAGTTGTCTTTTAAAAAAAGGGAAAAGAAAGAAGTCGGCGGTAGAGGTGGCCTTAGATGGTGTGTTGAATTTCTCGCATGGTTGAAATCTTATCACAGATCACAGCCGCATAGCTGTTTTCTGAGAAATGTGCGAGTAGAACAGTTAAGCAGTGTTAGAGGCGACACTCTGTGAACGATGAATTTGGGAGAACTGGGCTTGTTCCCCATTGAACTCCATCTCCTCCACAGTTGTTTTTTACATTGTTTTCCACACTCATTGAATGTTCTAAACATGCCTTTTATCGGGTAGATAGTCTGTAAACCATTTATCTCGATTTGTTCCTGGAACTTTTATAAACTGCGCTTTCGTGAGATTTAGTATATTGTTTTCGTGTTTTGTTTACGTAGGATTTATGACCACTTCATCTAATTCATTAATAATTCTCGAAAGGAAAGGCATGGCCTCTACTTTGTACACGTTTGATAAGAGAATATGGACTCATCTGTTGGGTGGGAGTTTCTATCTAAATGCCTTACTTTTGGACATACAGGAGTAGTATTTATTGCTTTCATTTTACTTCATTCGTATTTCGCTTTGCAGCTATGTTCATGTCCACTAAGCTGTTAGAGAAGCACCTTTTAGACTACCTGTCAAGTTTACAAACGAGCAGTACGCCATTGTCCCTACAGTTGTGCGCTGTGGCAACAAACTTTGCTTGCTATGGAGCGAGCTGGAGTATCGGAAACAGAAATTGACGGTTTGTGGACTGATGCCCGTGAAACAATAAGGTAAATACTGCGATTTGGTTCATTTCTGTTTGTTAAAAATAGAGTGGTTTTGCTTAGATCTGAACTTTTTATGATTTGATGGAGATGTTTACTACATTTCATAGCTTTCCATTTAGAAAATATTATGTGTTATATAATCATCTAGAGCACGAACGCATCTTCTCATCTAGAGCGCGTGTAGGGCAGTGGTCGGAGACGCCCTTCTATACACATGGGATTGTTCCCAAACCCCAAGGATCACCAAGCCTTCCGTCCATCTGATGTCGGCAAATTAGTACCAGACTTGTCTGTGAAGATAGCAGCACTGCCTCGATACATAGATTTGCCACGTCATTGTAAATGCCAGATATGCATCCATTCACCTCCTACGATGCGCATAGCAGGGATTGATCAACGTCGAGAGCTTTATCCTTTATCCTTTATAGTTCTCTTCTTATCTTTATGACATTGAAGTGAGAATTAGATAAGTTTCATTTAACTATACGTGGAGTTGACCAACTTTGAGCAATGATATGATTTATATTTTACAATATAGCAGCTACTCACTTCTTCACCAAGAGAAGATGTGTAGCAGTAAGGTTGTTTCTGTTTAGATTTTTCCCACTGATGTCTGTTTTCCACTTTTAGCTCAGCAGAAGATGGACGTGCATTGTATCGAACCTATCTTTATATGTTACGCCGTCGAGTAGATTCTGAAAATGGAGATTTTTCGAAAGTGGCCAAGGTGTTCGAAGAAGGAGCAAGTGTAAGTCTATTTAAGAGCCTCAATCCAGGATTTTTTTTTTTTGATAAACTGAGAATTTAGTCTTTAATCGAATGGTTTGGAGTGCACAACTGGGACCACGATGGTGTTTATCGTCGAAATTGGGCGTATTTTGCGTATACTAAGCTCAAGGACTCTGAAAAGGTGTTTGAGTTCTAAACCTAGTGATATTGTTTTTTTTTCTATTCGTTTGATCACGATAAGTTGAAAATATCCTATCGTTTCTGAAATAGATAATGGACAAGATTTGTATTTCAAGTGTGTAATCCAAGTTTCAATATCTTAAAGGGCCGCCGAATATGGGAAGACATTCTTGCATCCGGAGGAGGACGTTTTGCTGAAAAGTGGATCGAAGCTGTTAAGTTGGAGAGGCAGTTTGGAACCGTAGAACGCTCTAGAAAGCTCTTTTATAAGGTGGTATATAAACTATCAAAGAGTTTGTCATCATGAGTCATTCTCTTCTCTTTTTGCTTTCATTTTTATACGTTTCCATAAAATTCAGGCTCTCAATTCTGTTTCGGATCATCCTAATCTTGTATTTGAGCATTTCATTCAGTTCGAGCGTGAAGAAGGTACCTTAGAGCAGTTGGACAAAGCTCTTGAGAAGGTCACCTAGTTTTGCTCTTTTTTCCTCACCAATTTTTTTAAAAAACGATCGTGCGAAATAAAGGGCTATTTTAAATTTGAATTCGCTTGATCGAACCTTGGTCTCCGAAGATGAGAAATCTTCTTTAAAGGTCAAATTATAGGTTAACGCACAAGCTTTACATCGTGCAAGCCGGGCGCAATCGCAGAGACAAAAGGAGAGCTCATCCAGTGTGAAGGTCTAAGATCATCCCTATAAAAGAGGCTTTTTTGCAGGAAAATGCTAATGCAATGGATATTAAAGTACCATTTTTTAAAGAGTTAAATATATTCAGAAGCCTGATACCCAAAAGACGGCTGACTTAAAGACAAACGATCGTAAACGACCTGCTCCGGATCCTGTTGAAACTCATCCACTGAAAAAGCAGGTGAGGTTTTTGTTTAGTTTCTACGATTCTTACTGCATGTCGGAATGATCATCTAGATGACTAGGATTATGCAGCTAGCTAACATTTTGTCTATGTCTATGCAAGTTGGTGTTTTCATTTTTTTCTCTGGAAATTTCAGGCGCCCACTGTCAACTCTGATTTAACACCTAAGGATAAAGACGGATTTGTTATGCCAATGTTGCCAGTGAAAAAGGTATCGTTGGGATTCAAATTTTCATTCGTAATATTCTTTGCGTTCTTCGCTGCCACAGTACTTAGTTTTACGGCGATAAATGATATTTTCAGCCAACTACTGTCGTAGCACTAGAATCACGTGCAGAGTTGACCGAGTCGGCAGCTAGTACCGCAAAAGAGGAAAAGTTTACAGTTTTTATTTCTAACCTTGATTTCAAGACAACACCGGAACAAATCAAAACTGTAATTTCACTTTTTTGGGATTTTTAAAAAATTGTTTCGTTTTATTTCTATATGGTTCCACTTAGGTGTTGGATGGTGTAGTAGAAGTTCGTCTTGTTGGTCGAGGAATGAGCAAATTAACAAAGGGGTTCGGCTATGTTGATCTTGACTCCGAAGAAAGTTATCGTGAAGCTCTTGCTAAAGATCGCGTACTTATTAATGGAAGACCCATGCTGGTTGGTGTGGATTTACGTGCTAGTAGTCGCTGTTGTATCATCTGCACTAACGTTAGCTATTTAGGTGTCAGTCAACGATCCAGAAAGGCGTCCCGTCTTTAAATATTCCACTGGTATAGAGAAATCCAAGTTATTCGTCAGGAATGTTCACTACGCTTGTACCGAAGATCAACTACGGGTGAGGTTGAACGTTTAGGAAGCTATGTTCTTATATTCATGTAGAACTGTGGAGTGGAGTGTTCGGTCTTGGTATCGTTTAGTTTTTCCTAACCTCGAAGTAGCGCCAAACTCTAGACAAAGTTTCTTGAAATGAACAGCAGTGCGTTTACCTACGCATCGAAAACTAGATTTTCATGAGCATTCTTTCTCCTTGAAGCCTCTTCAACCCTTTATCTTCTCATGTTCACTGTGCTTACCCCTGGTTGGACCACGCTCATTTCGGTTCATACGTTTTACGAATACGAGTGCGAACAATAACAGTTCTTTGGAATAAGTAAGGAAGGATGTCTGGGACAGTGCTGGCTATTCACCTTTTGAAAGGTTAGAATAATGCTGCTGTTCATGTCCTAATCATGGCCTTCGATGCATTTTCTGTTCATCACTTAGGTACGGATTAGATGCAAGTTATAAAGCTGTGGTGATTTCCATGGGAAATATATAGAGCGAAGGGTGGGTAGCACATTGCTAGGGATGCCGATTATCACGAGCACGATGCTGGTTTGATCCACCGCTTTGCTCACTAAGCTTCTCACTTCTCCGGGATCGGGAAATTGGTACCGGACTTGTCCGGGAAAAAAATCGGTGTCTGCAATGCAAGTGGGAACGCACCAGCCCGACTATCCCAGGACTCGAGGGAGAATCGACTCGACTAGCATTCAGCGACATTCAAGATGAAATGGAAATTCTCAAGCAGGAAAAGTCGGAGTGAAACCTTCGTGGAGGTTGGATGCGAGGAAATGAATCGAAGGTGAGAAGTGCTGGGATCCGTACAGTAGACGTCAAAAAGGGTTTTATCGAAATATGAAATAAAACATGCAGAGCACATCTGACAGAAATTCATGCTGATACGTGGATTTCTGTATGAAAGGATGTTCTGATCTTCGATGATGCCACTCTCTGTTCGTGTCGTCGTATTTCGAATCGTGCTAGAATCGTATGCTTTTTCTAACAGAAATACTAAGGCTTATGTCAAGGGAGACAAAATTTTTGAATAGGGTGTCTCGATTGTTCCTTTTATTTTACAACGGGACTTGATGAGATTACTGTAACCGCGTTCGACGTATTGATGTGAGATGATTCTGTCTTCGTACCACACCTCGTCTTTTCTACTTTCATCAGTGAGGTAAGTTGAAATGTCATATAGATAATCCCATTTTATTTAGTCCTGCCGTTAATGCGCTGTTTAAAGAAGAGGACACAAAAACACTTTTTTTTAACTCGTATATAATGCTGAGATATTTGCAAAACCCCGGACCGCAGGTGTATGTGGTAGGGAACGAACGCGCGCTATTGTCCTTACCGGGGAGTAGCGCACTTCACGCACTTTCTTTTTAGTTTTTTTTTTCGAATAGGAATGTCTTTTAAACATATTTACAGTTTTCTATTCAGTTAAATTATGTGTGCTGAAAAGTGATTCGTTTTCAGGAAGCATTTGCTGTGTTCGGTGAGGTAAAAGCTGTACGTATTGTCACGCATATTTCTGGGAAACCCAAAGGAGTGGCCTATGTTGAGTTTACCAGCGAAGAGGATGCTCAAAAGGCGATAAATGCTCCAGAAATTGTCCTTCTTGGTTTGTTGTATAGGTGTTGTTTAATGTTGTTATCTCTTTCAGTTGGTTCTTTGATAAGTGAACTTTGCAGATCGTAAATTAGTCGTGGCTATTTCTAATCCACCGCAGAAATCCGGCAAAACTGAGTCCTCAAAGTCCTCTACAGCACCAGTAGTGGGCACATCAACTGACAGAAAGGCTTCTCTTTCTATGGTTCCACGTGGTGTTAAAACCTCGTCGAAAAAAACTATGAATGGAGTTGACGGAAGTTCGGCGAAAGCCATGAGCAATGACGATTTTAGAATGCTCTTTAAAAGATAGTGTAGAACTGTTAGTTTGTCGTGCTTTCTCGTTGAAAAGTTGCTAACGATGTAAATAGGCCCTTATTTTTTATTTCTTTTGACTTCATTCCTTTTTATTCGCTTCTTAATTTGTTTTTGTTTATAAATATCTTTTGTTGAAAGGATGTGAAGTTTTTAATTATCAAGGACGTCTTCCACTAACGTGTTTCACCCTTTTGTGTAAGTGATTGCTATCACACCTCTATAAATCGCTAAAAGCAGATGTCGTATGAGTCAAATGGAACAGCACAGTCAGGTGATGAAGGCCATCTTCTTGCTCCTTTCGATTACATTACCTCAATGCCAGGGAAGCAGGTGTGTTTTTTCTGTTATCCTGAAGTGGTGCGTGTGGCGCAGTGGTCGGAGGCGCTTAGCAACATACATGGGGTCGATCCCTGCGCCTACGACTCACCAGGCCTTCCATCTCTCCGGAGTCGGCAACTTGGTACCAGATTTGCCTGAGAAGAAAACAGCACTAGCTCGGTACATCGGTAGGCCACCGTGAGTCATTGTAAAGGCCACATATTCACTCAATAACCTCCAAACGATATTCAATGAAGTCGAATGCATGGCGCATCCGTCAACGATTGTTCAACGTCGACAGCTTTGTCCTTTGTCCTTTCTCCTGGAATACTTTCTACGAGCGGTTTTCTCTATCCCAAAATTTTAGTCCTTATACAACCACTTTTAGATTAGGGGTAAACTCGCAATGGCATTCAATATTTGGCTCCAGATACCAGACGATAGATTGTTTTCAATCATGGGTTTGTTATTTTTATTTATTTGTGCTTTTCTGAAAAAGTATGAGATCCTTCCAATTCGTTTTCACTTTTGCAGAGATAGTACAAATGCTACACAATGCTTCATTACTTATCGATGACATTGAGGACAATTCTGTTCTTCGACGTGGTCTTCCAGTCACTCATCATATTTACGGCACTCCGCGAACAATTAACGCTGCTAACTACGTGTACTTTATAGCTCTAAATAAATGCACATTGTTATCAGACAAAGCCGTCACAATCTTTGTAGGTGCGTTTTTGCGTAGAAGAGAGTTTAGTGAAGAATTCCGTTGAGATGTAAGGCTATTAAATTTTTTTTCTGTTGCTGTAAATATTTTACTGAGATCGTATTTCATAAGCCTTTTTGAGCACTTTATCAAGGCGAGATTTTCAGAACAAATGCTAGAACTCCATAGAGGTCAAGGGAAAGAGCTGTTTTGGAGGGATACGGTTACGTGCCCTACAGAAGCTGAATATGAAGAGATGGTTGTGCAAAGTATGTTTATCTAGGTGTTCAAAATTCTGTATTCACGCTTTCGCCATCATTAATCTTATAAAGACGTTTTGTTTGTACATAGACATTGTAAGCATGTCTTTGTCTTCCTAGACTTAAATTAATGAAATGTAAAGACTAACTCATTTTCTGAGGAGAGGTTTCGGAAGCGTTTATTGGGAAATAGATCACCATTATATTTCTAAACGCAATAAGCGGCATGTTTTACAACAGTTACAGAATATTTGAGAATGGGGAAGCTTTGGAGAGCAGATCGCCGTTTTAGTTTAAGTTGTGCTCACTAGATTTTAGGCAGTTCGAGAAGCGTAAACGTAATTTGCTAAGAGCATGATTTAGTGATGTGGGAAGAACCCATACTTGCAGTAATTTTAATCCTATATATACTTCGACTAATGAAGCGATTCCTAACACACACCCACGTCGGCCCACCAAGCCTTCCATCCCTCCGGGGTCGGCAACTTGGTACCAGGCTTATCTGGGAGGATAGCAGCGCTGGCTCGGTAGATCGGTAGGCTATCGCCAGTTAAAGGCCAGATATGCATTCAATCCCCTCCAAACGACGCTTAACAGAGTCGAATGCATGGCGCATCTCTCAGGGATTAATCAACGCAGAGCTTTATCGTTTTATCAATATCCTATTCTCTATCGACCATTCAGAGCCTAAACACTGAAGGGATCACGAAAGGGAGTACTAGCAGTAATAAACAAATTTTTTCGTAATCACATAAGCGTATTGAATAGGGTTGGGTTTTTTAGTGGCAATTTCAATTGTGGATTTGTTGGTTCAAGAAAGAATGTCTCCATAGGGCTTTTACTGCTCAATCTCCTGATTTTCAGAAACTGGTGGTCTGTTTTTCCTCGCTGTAAAATTGATAGAACTTTTCAGTTCGAAGACGTACGATTTTTCCAATTTGTTAAAGCAGATGGCGCTATACTTCCAGATAAGGTTTTAGCCATTTTTTTTAACTAATTTTGCAGCCCTTGTCCTCAGTCATTTCGTTTCCACGTTGCTTATTCCTTTTTTTTTGCAGAGACGATTATCTCAATCTTGTATCCGACGATATGGCAAAACAGAAATCATTTGCAGAAGATCTTACTGAAGGAAAATTCTCGTTTCCCATAATCCATGCCATACACTGCTCCCCAACCTCACTTAATGATGACCCAGTCTTGAGTATGCAGTCGATTATTGTTAATGTTTACCAACAGGATTTTAAGGAAACTTATATTTATTGTAGAAGGGAATTTTTCTGTCTGATTCTTATCGTACTTTATTTGAAAAATAAGAGCAGTTTGATTTTTAATCACAAATATTTCAGATATCCTACGTCAACGCACCAAAGACATAGAGGTGAAGAAATACTGCATCAAACTCCTTAAGGAACGCTATTCTTTTGAGTAAGTGTACTATGTGCTCTTCCATCAGTAGCGTTCCATGTTATAGCTGTTACCACTGTGGACTTCCTAAAAGTTCTTATAAGTCTACAGCTGCCAGTTTGTCAGAGTCGTATGCATTACACTTCCCTAAGGAATCAACACCGAGCGCATTATGCTTTGTTCATAAACATCTTGAAAGATGTGACTCATTTAGATAATTTTCTACAATTTAGCAGCGCATGTTCCAATACATTTTCTCCTCGTTTGTTTTGCTTCGCAGAGTTTTTTTTAATACACTTTTCATATTCCGTCGATGGCTTTCCGTTCCGATCACGGATTTTGTGCCAAGCATACTTTTAAAAAGGCTATATTCCAAACAAGTCAGTATGTCTAGCAACAGAGATTGTTACTTGTGGGGGAGGTGCAAAGATATCTCAGTCGTTTTGTGCAAACACTGCAGACTAGACCTTGCGAATATGTTAAGGACTTCCTATGATCCCATTACTTCTGAGAATTGATGGATGGTAGGCTTTTCTAAAAGCACTATAGTCATGTGGTGAGAACGTAGCACCTGAGATCAACATTTTCTACCACTTTTTTTTCAAAAAAGCGAGTCCATAAGCCGAAACTCTCCGTTCATGTCAAATGTTTTCTATAGCGGAAGGAAGAAATAAAACATTTTAAAAAATGTGATGATGTACTCACTACTGATGAAGACCTGTCGTCCAAGTATCCATAAATTTTACTGAAAAATGCCTAAGGAACCCGAAATTCCATGTAGCTGGTCGCTATTTCGGTACCATTGTTAGCGTGTTAAAATGTCAGTATTTGTTTACTGTCCGATTCCTTTCTTTTTTTCACGATCGTTATCTATGGGTGATGATCTGTTTCATGCATGGTGACGCCTGTCATTATTTACTAAGTCTATGAATCGTTTCCAACTAGAATTATAAAAAAGGGTAAAGCTCTGGGCTTTGATCAATTCGTGAGGGATACATCATGCATTCGACTCTACTAAGCATGGTTGGTGGTGATCGAATGCATATCTGGGCTTTAAAATCACTCGTGGTAGTCTGCCGATCTATCACCGACTCCAGAGGGGTGGAAGACTTGGTAGGCCAGGGGCGCGAGGATCGTTTCCAAACGTATTGCAGGGCGCCATTAGAAATATGTTATGTTGAGAAGTGCTAAGCGTAAACTTTTTATTATATGATTGTATTCATGGTTATAATCTGGATTTTTTGAAGTTTTAGGTACACACTCACCCGACTTCGTAATATTGCTTCTGAGATCAGGGAGGAAATCAAGACATTAGGTGGCAATTGCAAACTGGATGAAGTAATGGATCTCTTAGAAAAGGGAGTAATCAATTAATGTTTACACTAGTTTCAAGTTTCTCTTGTTCTGTTCGTTTTAATTTATTTGTTAGCAAACTTTCCGCTACCCGCAACTGGTGAATCCGCTTCAGCACTATTGTCCACTGACATATGTTCTTTATTGTATGGTGTTATCTTTTTATCACAAAAGCAGTTTTATAGCTTGCACCGGTTTTCTAATATTGTGATATTTTATTACATTCGCCTATCATGAGTTTGTTTTCTTATCCTCTTTTATTATGTTGGTTAGTGCCAGTTGAATGTTTGTCCCACCTGTTGACGAAATCACAACACATCGAGTTTAACCGATATTCATAAGACATGCAGTGCAAAAGCGTAGTTGGTTCTACACAGCTCAGCGTGGTAGGACTGAACCTATACTTGTGTAGGTGTCGCGTGTGACAGTTCTGACTGCTTTTGATTGTCGTAAAACAGTTATTGAGGTGTTGTCCAGGTCCAGTGCTATAAAATGTCTCTTATATTCGATCATTTCTAAAATCCACTGTTGGCACTCCCTTAGTTACTCAATACCACTGGGATATACTTATTGGTCATCGCGTGCCGGACGTGGCGTTAAAGTTGCCCATGATTGGTCTTTGGATTGGTTAGGTTTGGTCTTTGGTGGTAAAACATCTGTGGATAATGCCGTGGTCTCACATTCCTAGCCGATAAAATTGAATGAGGAGATCTCTCAAATAATTCATTAGTCTACATCTATCCAATCGTTAATTTGAGTCGTCGTTATGTCCAAAGGAGTTAGCTGCTTTTGGAATTATTCGTACTGCCGAGAATACCAACTACTCTATCGTATAGTGTTTCAAGTTTTTCTTTAATAAACAGACATGAGGTTGTTATTACAGAATTTGTTAGGATGCAGTAGCTGACGTTTCGGCGGTTTCACCTTCTTCAGAACCTGGAATGGTTAAATTGAGATGCGATCTACTCAGCCAAGCTCTTTCATAACCCTAGCAGATAAAACTTAACAAATAAATTTGTATTCGCATAAGAAACAGCTCCATTTAAACAACTACCGTTTATTTGTTGTAAGTATTTAAGTTAGTTGGTGGATAGTAGCCGCACATAGTAATACATGGGTGATAACTGTGTCTGTGTCAGGTCATTGGATGAGCCTGAGGTATAGTGCCAGGTCACGCGTGATGACAAGACACTCCTCCTTGCGGTTCATTTTTGAATTTTTGGATTTGATCCAAAACGCTTCAAGAGTTTTACGCGTTGTTTTTGATTCGTGCGGAAGGATAGTGACTCCTACTTCGAAATCTCCGTTATGTTCCTGCATCCTATTCGCGCCTAGTGGAGTGTTTGGTTTTAATTTAGATTTACCGACTAGGTGTTCTTTTATGCGGACGCAGAGCGGTCTACCTGTTTCGCCAACGCATTCGTCATCCCACGCTTTACAAGAGATCAGATGTACTGTACTCGAACTCATGCAATCACCGTCTCTACCGTTTGGGCAAATTATGCAGTTTTCCGTTGTACACAGACCGCCATATAGGCGGTTGCGAACTAGCTGTCATTTTAGAGTGTCCGATGGTATTCCTATCACTCTTTGGGAATTCTCTAGACCGGCCCTTATTAAGCAACGTTTTATTGCTGCACTTATTTGGTTGAAATAAAGGACAAGAGGAACGGAGGCTTGTTTTCGCTAGAATTATCGCTCTGGGGCGTGCGTGTTCCTCTATGCCTATGCCGAGAAGCGACAGTTTCCTAACCATTTGAAATGGCTATTTGGCGCGCCAGCTTCGAGGATTCTTCCCTCTGCTCTCTATCTGTCCAGACGTTGGTGGCGGTTCGAAACATATTTCTTGTAAGCGCCTTTTTAGTGTGTGAGGGATTAGAGAAGTGTTAATGGATTACTATATTCTTACTACTTGGCTTTCGATACCATTTTGTGTTGTAGCCGTTTTCGTATAGGTTAATTTGAAGGTTTAGAAAAGGAAGCCAGTTTTCTTTCGGTTTCTCACGGGTGAATTTTATGTACTCTGACTGTTCATTCAATAACTTAAAGCATTTGTCCATCTCCTCTTGTGTGGAGCAGATGGCAAAACAATCACCTATAAACCTACAGTGTAGTAACGGCCTGAGATCGACTACTGGTGCTTCCACTTTAGACATAGAGGCAACGGCAAGGGTTGGTGCCAGTCGCTGCCCCATTGTCAACCCTCTAATTTGCGCGTAATATTTCCCGGACCATCTAAAGATCGAGCAGTTAAGACAGACCTTTAGGAGGTCCATAAGCTCCTGAATCGAAAGGCCATACATGTTAGTTGCTCCTTCGTGTTGCTCAAGAAGCTCGCGGATGGCTTGCATTGCGGAGTCGTTCGACACAGAGTAAAGGGCGTAACGTCGAACGACTCCATGACGTACGCGCTTTTCGGAAGTGCGTTGCGCAGACGGTCTAGGAACATTTTGGTGCTCGTGAGATTGGCTGGCATATGCTTAAGCAAGTGGTTGATGATTAGATTTACAAACCAAGCAATTCTATCCGCAGGCCCGTCTACACAACTGATTATGAGTCTAACTTTAAAGGTGGAGGGGTCGGTAGACGTCAGATCATCAGCGGATATTAGCTTATGGGTCTTGATAAGTAAGTATAAGACGGAACATGTCGGCACTTCGTTCTTAAGATGCGAAATGTCTGTTGGTTTTAAACCTGCTGCGCTTGCCATTTTGACCCACTCGTTCAGTTTTCGATTTTGACTTCTGAATTCATTTCCAATAGATGCGCGATAAAGTGATGCGTCTTCAAAATGTTTTCCGTTATATCGACATCTAACTGGGGAAGAATTACTACAAACTCTCCACTCTTATCACTAACTGATAGCCTAATGTCTTTGATTATATTAGCTCTCGAACTCGTCGCATACAAGATTTTTGCGCAGCTGTGAGGTTCGAACTAAACTTTTTTGCGCGATAGTAATTGGGGATTTTGAGAGTTTCGCTCGAAAAGATACGAAATTTTATATCGACTTCGTCGTTTGGGTCTTGCTGTCTAAAGAATAACCGAGGAAATGGAGGTGGTGGTAGTGCCCCTGCTGCTTGTTGTTCCTTTTTATTTCGTGTCTCAATTCTAGCGTTGCTTCGGAGTCGATCTTGGAGCTCGTGCAGACTGAACGCGATCCTACGTAAGGTTTCTTTAGAAATGGGTTGCGATGGTGAGAAACTTGGACCCAATTCTAATAGCGAGCGCGCGTCATCAGGCAGAGTTATGGCTCCTAACATGGTGACCCTTGACTTTTCCCTTGACTTTGAGTGTTTCAAGTATTTTTCCTTTAACTATTAGCTTAGTTGAGATCTTTGAGTGCCGACGATCACGAAGTATATGAAGTGGGAAACTATCACATTCATTACTTGTCCTTCCATGATTCATCGGTGATCACACTGCTGATGTGGACGCCTGTAGCACCTGTATGCTAATTTTTTTTGCCAGTTCAGTACTAGCATTACCCATACAAACGATCATACCTTTGTACATACTCAGCATTATCATCAACGTGTAGGTGAAGGCAATGAAAGAAAAAGTAAAATATCTACTTTTTCATTGATAAGCTAACACGAGGTTGGTAAGTAGTCTCACTTGGCCAGTGTTTCGACGTGTTCGTCTTCTTCACATCTGGATTGATTCGAGTCGACCGCCCACGGCTATTCATATTTCTGAATTGGATTTTCATGACGACACCATCGAATCGAATCCAGAGGAGCAGTGCTCGAATGAAATCCAAGGAGTCCTACGCAGGACGTTTGTTGGCAGGCTGATTGTCTGTTGATAATAGTTTGTTTCCCTCCGGACAATCCATTCTACAGTAGTTGTTGTTATGCCAGATGGCAAAAATTAAAATTTAAAATGTGAATAATGAACCACGTTTGAAAGTTCTTTTACTTCAATCCTTACTTATCGCTTTTGTGCGTTCCCGCACCGTCTATTCTAACCCCAGGTATTCTGAAAGGATAAGTTTGCAACCTGAATTGACCTTCTTTTGATTGTGAATGGGGTTATGAACTCTAGTTCATCGTTGAATTCAAAAAGAGTAGTCAAGTCACAACTGCGATCAGACCTAATTGTTCCTTGCATAATAATTATGCAAGTATGTTAACTTTTTATTTACTTCCCATTATTATTTTTTCACGGCAGGGCTATGTTAACTGGGCTCAATGCCGATCTGTGCTCCCCATATGCTCCCGTTGACGGATGATTACTGATGGCACAGTTAGGTAGAAAACTGGTTGAAAGAAAGATAAAGCAAGGGCCTCACTGGTACACTAGGTAACAGGTGAGTTCCCCGGAAAAGCTAATCGCGGATTCGATCTGGCTTGCGGTCCAAGTGTTGCAAAGATTTCAGCGTTGTAGTGGTTGTACTCAGTATAAATATTATTATATATCACAACCTAAACGAGAGGTATGAGACTGCAGTTTTTCAGATGTGCGTTCTTCTTTTGATAACAGAATGATTTCAATTATACTGTGAAAGTCGTGTCTTCGAACAGTTTCTTTAACCCACTGGGGACAGAGGATACAAAAGCATATCGGGGACGATTTTGATATAAAAGCCACTATCCTTGCACAGGATGCCGAAGCACCAACGAGCAAACCTCTTGAGGGTTTTTGATAAATGCCAAAAACCCCACAATGAATAGCAGGGAGGAATGCCCAGAGGTAACACTCGACCTGGCCCCGTATCTTCGCATCAGTTTCTGATGTGCGGTGGTGCAGTCATCAACCACATGCGACTGTAATCAGCTGTTCTAATCTTCCTCAATGGAAGTCACGAAAAAAGCGGTGACTGTTTGGAGAAGCTGTTGACCATGTAATTACCATAGAGTTTTTCTTTTTTTTGTAAGTGTTATTGAAGTGTTTGGCCTAGTAGATTGTATATCAGTATACCCTTCCAGGCTCTGAAGAAGGCGATGCTGCCATAACGTCAGCTGCCGTTGTATCGTGTGTTTTTGCATGGAAGTAAATGTATCTGCATTAAAACCTTG